CCAAAAGATGGAATATTATGCAGATGTGGCTAAGACCCAAGTGGCTCTAGATTATCCTTGCTTGTTAGCTTTAGATGTGATGGTTTAAGCTTAACCAATAGAATATCGTACCAAGCCGGCTTACACTAGCGCCTACAATAGCACAATTAGATATTAATTTCTCAGCTGTAAAGGTTGCAAATAAGTTTTTAAAACCCAACTGTCCACAATTGGGGAATTATAAAATTATGCCACGCCCAAAAGATGGAATATTAGGCAGATGTGGCTAAGACCCAAGTGGCTCTAGATTATCCTTGCTTGTTAGCTTTAGATGTGATAGAGGTTGATAATTCCGCACTGTACTCCTCTCCTGGCAACGTGGAAGAGCTGTAAAGACTGGCAAATTGCAGGCATGGTCCAATCTGTCATGGAATAGGGAGCTTCACCCTCTGGTCTCCTCCTTCCTTTAGCTTGGAGGAGGCCTTTCAGAAACCCAGTGTCAGCAGTTTTCTCACTGTCTGTGGGCATGATCATAATGTCTGTCAAGATCAACATCACATTTCCCCTCTCTTCTGATATTGTACTATTTCAGCCCTAAAGTCTTTTTGATTATACATGAAACACTGCCTTAGGTTGCTTTCATGTATGTTTTATGAGAACACCTAAGCATGAATATTTATTTAAGCAGCTTGGAACACATCCCTTTGATTTTTTCCGTTCTGACTCATATTAAAGGGGAGAGTGTGTGTGCACTATTTCATAGTTCATCTGTAGTGGCTTCTGCCTCCTTCCTCCCCCTCATGAAGTGACTGAGTCATCTAAGAAATGGAAAGCATTGCTGGGGTTTGCATCAGTTAGCAGCATGACACATATTTCTGTTTTAGTGATAAAATAGAACTGTTCCTTCTGCAATGTCAGCTTTCCTACATAATATGTCAATAAACCCTTGTCATCTAACTGTTGCCTGTTTGAATTCCTTCTGCAGTGACTGACTTGGTCAACCCTTCATCACTTTTTTTGTTGTTGGGGGTGGCTGGCGGGTATGGGGATCCGAACCCCTGGCCTTGGTGTTATCGGCACCATGCTATCCCAAGTGAGCTAACTGGCCAGACCAACCTTCATCATTTTTTGTCTCAATTGGAACAGCAGCTCCTGCCCTCTTTCTGCCTCAAGCCCCAAACTCTTACAAGTGATCTTGCCACTGCAGTCAGAGGGGTGTATCTAGAAACAAAGAGTTTCCCTAGAACCTTTCAGGATAGGATCCAAACTCCTTAGAATGGCAGACTGAGTCTTTTATATTCTGACTTTTTCATATCCCCAACTCTTATTCTCCTGCCATTCACCCATACAGCAATAATAGTAATTGTTATTGTTATTGTTATTATTGAGGATTTTCTAAGTGCTAAGCAATTTTGATGCACAATGACTCCTTGTGCATCCAGTACTTTAACTACACAGAGCTCTTCTTGCTTCTGGAAGGTACCACGTTTCTTTACAAACCTCCCTGCCTTTCTACAGATGTGGTTTCCTCTCCTAACTTCTCCTCTGCCTTGTCAACCTCTATTCATTCTTCCAACTGAGCTCAATGAAACCTTCCCTCACTCTTTTTTTCTTCCGTTTCCACCTACTTTAGAAATTGAAGGAAATATTTTAGCTCAAGTAGCCAAAGTACAGGAAAAAGACAGGAGGCCAGACGAGCTTCTGGGACAATTAGAACAAGGGGCATAAATGCTGCCAGGACGCTCTCTTATAATCACATCTTTCTGCTTTTTCTTGAGCTTTATCTATCCTCTCTCAGAGGGACAAACAACCCTTGGTGAACAGATAATTCACCAAGGATATATGCAGAAGGTGAATAATCACATAAAAAGATGCTGAAAATCATTTGTTATTTCAGAAATGGAAATTAAAATCACCATGAGATACCAGTACGCTCCTAGAATGGCTAATGTTACAAAGACTCATCATAGAAGTGAAGCACCTGGATCTCTCCTGCACTGTTGGTAGAGATGTAAAATGGCACAACTACTTTGGAAATATTTGACAGTTTCTTAAAAAGTTAAGCCTACACCTACCATATGATCCAATTATTTCACATTTAGGAATTTTCCCAAGAGAAATGAAAGCATACATTCATACCAAGGCTTGTAAGGGAATGTTCATAGCAGCTTTATTTGGAATAACCAAAAACTGGAAACAACCCCAATGTTCATCAACAGGTGAATGGATAAACAAACTGTGGTATATCTATATCATGGAATACACTCAGCAATAAAAAAGAATGAACTACTGATACAGTCAACAACACAATTGAATCTACCAAAAACTGGAAACAACCCCAATGTTCATCAACAGGTGACTGGATAAACAAACTGTGGTATATCTATATCACGGAATACACTCAGCAATAAAAAAGAATGAACTACTGATACAGTCAACAACACAATTGAATCTCAAGATACTAGATCTCAAATTTGAGCTGAGTGAATGGAATCAGATCCCCCCGCAAAAAAAGAGTACATAGTCTTTGAACCCATTTATATAAATTTCTAGAAAATATCACCTAAGGGAAGGAAAACAGATTAGTAGTTGCCTGTGGGCAAGGTGGGATGGGTGTAGAGATTATGAAGAGACATGAGGAAACTTTTAGAGGTGATGGGTATGTTCATTATCGTGATTATGGTGATGGTTTCATGGAGGGTGTGCTTATATGTGAAAACTCATAAAATTGTACACTTTAAATATATGAAGTTTACCAAATGTCACTTGCATCTTAATAAACTTAAACACACGCATGCACACACACATAGTATGTATCTGTTATTAACTAAGTAATAATTGAGGAAAGAACTAGAGCATAAGGAACTACCAACTGGGTACATGTCTCTTCAACCTGACCTTCAGATTTGGCCCAAAAAATATAAGATAAGTACAAAGTGGGAGTCCAGAAGATCTGTAACATTCAAATCTTTTTATTGCATATCTGAGATTAAATAAGATGGTCACGTGGACTGTGACAGTCCAAACAAGCTGAACTGCAGGCAGGTTAAACCAGCCTAGTTAAGGAAATCATTCAGGGCCGGCCCGGTGGCGCACTGGATAGTGCGCCGCTTAGGAAGCGCGGCGGCGCTCCCGCCCGAGGGTTCGGATCCCACATACAGACCGGCTCCCGCTCACTGGCTGAGCGAGGCGCGGGAGCAACACGGAGGCTTGCGATCCCGTTGCCGGTCCCCGGCCCGGTACGGGGGCAACACTGAGGGTTGCAATCCGTTGCCGGACATGGAAAAAAGACAAAAAAAAAAAAAAAAGGAAATCATTCAGCAGATTTGTCTCTGTTACTGATAAAAAGGTTATTTGCACACCTGTATGAGATAGAAGTGTGTGAAACAACCCATTTCAAGTTAGACACCGATAGTTTAACACTATAAGTTTCTAGAATAATAATGCAAAGTATATCACCATCTCAAATCCAATAAATAAAAATAAGGGATGCAGTTGCCTCTTCTGCAATAGGTTATTAAAAGTTGTCTGACCTTTCAGAGCTACCCCTAGATGACAATATAAAAAGTTTTAAAATCTGCATTTATATTTTTTTTAGAGTTTTGCTTTTCTGATAGGGAGTTTGAGCTTTTCAAATTCTATGGCCATATAATTTTGTGTTTGTGTGTGTGTTTTAATAATTTTTTAACAGTCATTTTTCTGTTGTAGAAAAACATGGAGACCAGGAATGAAAAGATTTAGGTTCTAATTCTGGCTCTCCTCCTACCTCAGTTTTCTTATCTGCAAAATGAGGATAATAGTAGTACCTACCTGTAGTAGGTTGAATGGTGGCCCCCAAAATATATATATCCACATCCTAATCTCCAGAACCTCTGACTGTTACCTTATTTGGAAAAAGGGGTTCTGCAGATGTAATCAACTTAAGGATCTTGAGATGAAGAGATCATCCTAAATTATCCGTGTGGATCCTAAATCCAATGACAAGTGTCCTTATTAGAAAAGCAGAGGGAACTTTGAGACAGATGGATGAGAAGACACATATCCAAGAGGAGGAGGTCATGGGAAGATGAAAACAGAGTGGAGTGAGGTGATCACAAGCCAAAGGGAGCCAGAAACTGGAATAGGCAAGGAAGGGACTTTTGTCTAGAGCCTCTGGAAGTCGGCTGCTGACACCCTTCATTTCCGATTTATGGCCTCCAGAACTTCTAGCGGATACACTTCTGTTGCTTTATGCCACCGAGTTTGTGGTAACTTGTTAGGGCAGCCTCAGGAAAAGAATACATAACCTCATAGAGGACTAAAAATGAGGACAACAGTACTACCTAAATTGTAAATTTGCTGCAAGAATTAAATGAGTTAACATTCGTGAAGAACTCAGAAGAGTGACCGATACCTAGCAAGCACTACAGAAGCGCTAAGTGAATTTTTACAAAAAGGGACTCACGTGTCAATGCAGCTTGTTGTTGACGACATTGTAGCTTTTCCGGACCGTGATTGGTGGACTGGACACCATATACCAAAGCCTCTTCTCAGATTACGTAATTGAATAAATAATCATGAGGATGGTGAAAAGGTCAAGGACATCTAAAAGGTTCTTTCGAGCCTGAAAGTTCTATGAAAGGAACCCTTCAATTCTCAATGCATTAGTTGTCTCTATACGATCCCTTCATCCCTAAAGGCAGTTTAGAACGGAATGCAGGGACCACAGGAGAAAATCACTCTCATTGACCCTGCTGGGAGCCTAAAACCCGGGGAGGCTCCTAGAGGGCAGAATTCCCAGGAGGATTCCTCGCGTCCATGATCCGCCCGCAGAAAACTACGATTCCCAGAAGGCGTTGGGTCCTGGGGCGGAGTCTAAGAGAAGGTTGCCGGCCGATTCCATTGTCCAGAGTGGGAGGGATCCGCCTTCCAATTGGGTCCCGTGCGCGGTTGGTACCGTCCACGGGAACCCGCGCGGCCGCGGCCGGCCCTCCAATTTCCCGGGCCGGGAGCGCGGGGCCCGCCGGGAAGGTGCCGGGACGGTTACCCACCAGGCCCGCGGCGGTCGCGGGTGGGCTTCGACATGCAGACCACGGACCTGGGCAACAAAGAGAGCGGCAAGATATGGCATCGCAAGCCTTCCCCGGCCACTCGGGACGGGTAAAGGCCGCGGGCTGTGGAGGAGGATGGAGGCGGCGAGGGGCGGGTCGGCGTCTGCGGAGAGGAGTTTGAGGGAGGCCGTCTCGGGAAGGGATGCAGGGGCCGGGGCCCGGGTGCTGGCTTTGCCCCTGCCCCGCGGCATGGGGTTGGGTGACCTCAGGAGGAGCAGGTGGCTCCGGACACCACGATCCGCAGAGACGCCCTTCCGGGTTCTGAGCCCGGTAGCGGGGGTCTGTCTGGGGCTGCGTGGAGCGGGAGGCGGGCGTGTCCCGGGTTCGTGGAAGGGAACCTGCGCTTCCGGTGAGAGCCCGGACTCGCCTGCTTTCATTACCATCGTGTCCCTGCCACGTGGTAAGTGCTCAGTGAGTGTTTAACTGTCGCGGCTGGAAAGGAGCTGAAGGTGGGGTGCAGGGGAAGGAGAGCAGTCCACTTCCACCCCTTCCTTAAATCATCGTGTGTACTCAGACACGCATGCATTCAGCACCTGTTTGTCGAGCGCCTACTGTGTGCCAGGGACGCTTCTAAGCGCCGGGGGACAGCCGTGGAACAAAACAAACTTCGGATTCTCCAAAGTTTACATATTGGCGTGTATGTTAGGGACAGGTGGTTACACTCTACGGGGGGGGGGGGGCGTCTAGTACGGCCAGCACTGCCTTTCATTCATTTCTCAATTACCCGTCCTGTTTGAGGCTCAGCCTCTCTTGTGTGACTTTGCCCCACAGGGGTGCCATTTGGGTTCCAGTTGCTACACACCGAGTGATCTTATTGCTTCTAATTCTCTAGGATTTCACGGACTTTGCTGCATCGCTTGAGTTCTTGTTTGTGTGTGTTTCTTGTTATAGTGATTTTTCTGTTGATGCTTTGGCTGCTGGTCGGCAGATCAACAGATTTTAAGTGCTTACCATGTATGCCCAAAGTTCAAGGCTAGATGTTGTACTAGCTAGCAACATCTTGTTTGGTTTCCGGCTGCTGTCAGTCCTCTTTATCGATGCTGCTGTCTCATCGACTGCATTGAATTAAAATTTTTGTCTAAAGTAGGGATTCTACAGGTTTTTCATTTTCATTTGGAATTTGTGTAAATATCACCCCTATTTCTGGTATTCTCTAAATGTTCTAAAAGTTATAGCCAACCTATCTTAATTCTCCTTCTTGCTGTTGCAAAATATCTTGATGTACATGCACGATTCAAAATTGAAAGAAAATGGTTCGTTGTTCAAATGTCCTTATTGTTTGCTTCTTCCACTAGAACATAGCCTTCTTTTTGTTCATTAAAGCCCATTGTTTATGGTGTTGAGAGAGGCAAAGAGTACTAACTGTGAAGTCAGATGGATTTAGTTGGAATGTCCCTTTACTAGCTCTGTGACCATGGGCAAGTTAATCACTAAGACTGTAAGTGGGATAATCCCACTTACAAGACATGGTTGTCTTACACATTTCATGCTCAGTAAATATTTGATGTTCTTATGTTTAGGAACTGAAGAACTCTGTCAGGCATCCTGTGAGCGATTGAAAGGAACTTGTTCCAAATAAACACAGTCATGCGCCACATAAGGATGTTTTGGTCAATGATGGACTGCATACACTGCAGTGGTCCCCTAAGAATTATAATGGCTATACCATGTAGCCTAGGTATATAGTAAGCTATACTATATAGGTTTGTGTAAGCACACTCTATGATGTTCACAAAACAGGGAAATCTCCTTTTTTTTTTTTTTTTTTTTTTTTTTTTTTGTGTCCGGCAACGGATCGCAACCCTCAGTGTCGCGCCCGTACCAGACCGGGACCGGCAATGGGATCGCAACCCTTGGTGTTGCTCCCACACCTCGCTCACGGGAACCGGTCTGTATGTGGGATCAGAACCCTCGGCGGGAGCGCCACCGCGCTCCCAAGCGGCGCACTGTAGCAGTGCGCCACCGGGCCGGCCCCTGAAACAAAGTTTCGACTGGAATCCGCCACATGAGGTCGGGTGCAGAAATTTCCACTTGTGGTGTCATGTCAACACTCAAAAAGTTTTGGATTTTGGGGGAGTTCAGAAATCAGTTTTTATTTATTTATTTATTTATTTTGTCCTTTTTGAGACCAGCCGCACCGTGCTCAGCCAGTGAGCGCTGTGAGCGCACCGGTCATCCCTATATAGGATCCGAACCGGCAGCGGGAGTGCCACTGCACTCCCAGCGCCGCACTCTCCCTAGTGCACCATGGGCTCGGCCCAGAAATCAGATTTTTGGATTAGGGATGCCCAACCTGTAAATTTTGTAGAAGAAAAGACTAGAGGAAAAAGTCATTTGCTGTCAGAATTTGGTTACCAAGGAACATTTTGATATGATTGCTTGTCATTTCAGTATGTTTATTTTTGTGATTTTAATCCCTTGGGGACTAGATAAAAATAAGCAGTGTAAGAATTTTGCTGTTTTCCTCAATGAGTCTGAAAAGCCTTATGTAATGTGAAGATAAATGTGAATAAAATGTTTAATCCACTTAATTCAATTTAGCATGCGGAAGTAATGAGGAAGATAGACGTTTAATATTAAAATTCAAAAATTCACAAACAGCCAATAAAGATAAAATTTTTGTGATTAAAAACTATTGTTGTGGGCTGACCCCGTGGCACACTCGGGAGAGTGCAGCGCTGGGAGCGCAGTGACACTCCCGCCGCAGTTCGGATCCTATATAGGAATGGCCTGTGCACTCACTGGCTGAGCGCGGTGCGGGCAACACCAAGCCAAGGGTTGCGATCCCCTTACCGGTCACGAAAAAGACAAAAAAAAAAAAACTGTTGTTGCGATGAAGAAAGTGATTATTCTGATCTTTATATATAAAAGATAGAAAAGTAGGAAGAAGTGGAAAAATCACCTATATTCCTATTACCTACAGACTATTGTTAATATTTGGGTGTATTCATCTGCTTTCCCTATGTGTAGGTTTTTCTTTTTCTTTCCTTCCGTTATTTCTTTTAATTGTGTGTGTGTGCGCGCATGTGCACATGTGTGTATGTATCGGCTGGTTAAAATCTAAGGTTAGAATGTTTTGATTTTCATTTAGCATTTTAATTGTTCCTTATGTTTCTATAGAATAATATTGAAAAATAGGCTGGCTAGTTAGCTCAGTTGGTTAGAGAAAGGTGTCGTAACACCAAGGTCAAGGTTCAGATCCCTATACCAGTTGTCAAAAAATAAATAAATAATAATAATAATATTGAAAAATAAACTTCCTTTCTTAATCTTTTGAATAGAAGTGTGATTAATGTGGGTTTTGAAGGAATGACTTCTTAAAGCATTGGTTCATTCAGCAGGCATATTTTGAGTGCCTGTCATGCATTGTAGGCCAGGTACAAGATTAGGTACTGGGATACAGTAATGAGCAAGTAGTGTGGTCCCTCTCCTTATTGAGCTCACCTGCCAGGGTATTATGGTGCATATATTAGAAATGAAAATAAACCTTATATACACTTAATTCATTTTGTAACATTCTGTATCACAAGAGCAAAACCTCATACCCCGTGGTCTATAACTTAATCACAATTTATTAATCTGTTTATGCGTATGTTTGTTTATTTAATGTCTGTTTTTACCACTTAACTGTAAGCTCCATGAGAGCAGGGATCATTTCTATCAGTTATTCTTAGCGCCTGGTTTGTTCATTGTCAGGCACGTAGTGAGTTTTCACGTACATATTTGATGAGTAAGTGAACGGTAGCTGCTTGATAATGAACTTTCTGAACTGTTATCAGAAATCCTTATAAGATGAACTCTAGGGGATAAAAGGGGTAGCAGTAGGAGGAGAGCATGGAATGGGTAGGCAAAAAGCCTTCAAAATTACTAAAGTACCCTATAAAAGCCATATTTTTCACAATATCAACAAATACTTGACATAATTTAATTTTTTCTTGACAGAATTATAGTGAACATCATTCACAACACTTCTGAGTACCATCCAAAAGTTTTGCGATTTTTGAATGTGGCTTTTGATGGTTCAGGAGATTGCTTAATTGCTGGGGACCATCAGGGAAATATCTATGTTTTTGACTTGTGTGGAAACAGGTAAGCAGATACTTTCAATATTTACCTTATTTAATAAGTTATTAATTCACTGATTATTTTAGTACTTGCTATTCATTATTCACAAAGAAAGATTTAAGTTGTACTGTGTTTCATGTACCTTGCAAAACACTCACAAGTGCTGAAGGAAGAAAGTAGGGAAGGACAGAAAGATTATTGTTCAATTTTTTTAGAGAATTAAAGTGCTAGTTTTAACAGTATCTCTACTAGCTTGTTTTTTCTTAAATTTAAAAATTTGTTATTGTTAATTTGTCAGTTAATTTCTGGTACTTCATTAGGCAATTTAGAAAGAACACAATTTCCTTTGTACATTATTGTTATGATGTACTAGATCTAAGAATTTTAAAGAATTGATCTTCACTCTTCTTTCCTCTTCCTCTTTTCTTCCCTTGTGGAACAATTTAGTCCAAAATCAATTAGGTGGCATTGATTAAGGTAGGTATCCATGCAGTAGCGCTGGGTGGGAGGTAGAGCTGTAGTGGCCCAGCAAGAGAGTCAGGGTATCTGCATGGGGAATGGGACAGTGACAGGAAGTTTAATATAGGGGGCTTTGATCAGATAAGTAAATATATTAGGGATAATGAGGGCCAGGTTTCTCACTGTTGCAAAAAGAACTTACAAATGTGGAAAAGGAGAAAACTAGAATGAACCATGTGGAATTGGATTGGTAACATTCTCAAATAGTTAAGAAAAAGAAGAGATCTTATATGATTTATTTATCTGTGATTTATTAGGTAGAAATCTGTTAATCATTGTTTCTGCTCTTTACTAAAAAAAAGTAATGGTCCCAATTCTCCCACCCTTTAATCTTGCCTAACCTACCCTGCCAATTTCCAATCTTAAATCAGTACAACTGTCTTTTCTTTGTCCCTGCTGCTCTACAAAATAAAAACAATTGTTGATTGATTCCACTACAGAATAATGAACTTCAACGTCAGTGATTCTTATCACTCCATTTGCTTATCTACTGTCATCCACTCTTCCCATTCTTCACTGAGTATTGTAATACTTTACCAATCTTCTTGTCTTCTTGTGTTTGATCCTACTCTTACTTCAATTGCCTGGCCTCCTAATTCGTGAGAAAATAGACACCTTCAAGCTTCTCTTTCTCCTCGCCCACTGCAGCCTCAAATATATATCCACATATAGCCTTAAATGTATCTCAAATATATCTGTAAGTTCAAGCATCCATACCTCTTTGTCACCTTATTCACAAAGATAGGTAATCTTAATTTCTTCCAGTGCTGGTCCCTATCTTCTGTAGCCTCCCATGGAACTTTGCACCACGAGTGTTTCATTCTTATTTTGTCCGTTGTCCTCTTTCTCTATCTATTGTAAGAGAGAAAAAGTAATTTTCCTTCTGCCCTTCTAAGTTCTCATCTGGGGCACCTGTAACAAAAGACAGATTAACAAGAGAAAAACAAATTATTAACATGTATCACAATGTAACACCTGGGAGTACCTAGAAATGAATAACTCAAGAGGTGGCTTAGACTCTGGCTTAATATAGCACACTCAACAAAGAATAAATTTTTAGCGGTGACAAGACAAAGGAAGAAGGGGCAGCAAATTGTGGGAAGGCAAATATATGGGAAATTAATGATAGATAAAGGCTAATTAGTCAGATTTGTTATATAGATTCCTCCAGTGTAATCTCTAGGATGATTAGAGTCTATAGTTATCTCCAGTGATCATGCTTTGTCCTTCCTGGGGGAAATGGAAGGAAGGACACCTTACTGAGTTTATGCAAATGTATGTAAACTTTTAGGTAAATAGGGGGAGGGCAGAGATCTTTTCTTGTACCTGCTTCTCAGTTGCCTTCAGCTCAAAATAATACGTATGTCAAAGTAGCATATTTTGGGGTGGCATATTCTGCCACTCTTCACTATAAACATTCTAAACTGAGCTGAGCAGTAAGTGGCAGAGCCAAGATGTGAAATCAGACTTATTATAAAGCCCTGTATTGGGCTCCCTTAAAATCTTTCTCACTGACCAATCCAATGATCTCTTTTTTTTTTTTTTTAAGATGACCGGTAAGGGGATCTTAACCCTTGACTTAGTGTTGTCAGTACCACACTCTCCCAAGTGAGCTAACCAGCCATACCTATATAGGGATCTGAACCCATGGCCTTGGTGTTATCAGAACCAGATTCTCCCAAGTGAGCCACAGGCTGGCCCCCAATGATCTCTTTTCAATTCTCATTTTACTAAAACACTAAGTGCTCTTGTCTTTCTCTCCTCCCTGGCATTTTTTTCTTTGACTTCATGGTACAACTCTGCTGATTTTTCCACCTCTCTGATCATTTTTTCTCTTGTTTTGCTGACTCTTCTTCCAGTGCCTACTCCTTTGGTGCTGCCCTACCCAGGCATCTGTCCTTGGCCTGCTTCCTTCCACATTCCAGCTACCCTCTTTGATAATGTCATCACCACTATGCCTCAGGCTTCAGCTGCCACATAAACACTGTTGACTCAGATCAACTTCTATTACCTACTAGAAATCGTCTTCCAGATTGGGCTCTCAAACAGCCACTAGCTGCATGTGGCTCTTTAGCCCTGAAAGGTGGCTAGTCCAAACTAAGATATTTTGTAAGTATAAAATTTAAATATACACTGGATTTTGGAGATTTAGTACTTAAAAAAAAAAAAAAGAATGTAAAATATCAGTAATTTTTTTATTGATTAAATGTTGAAATGATAATATTTTAGGTACATATTGAGTTAGTAAAATGTTATTAAGATTAATTTTACCTGTTTCTTTCTGCTTTTTTAATGTGGCTCCTGGAAATTGTATACTACCCATGTAGCTCACATTATATTTCTTTTGGACAGCATGGGTCTAGATGTTTTACAAGGGCCTTAAACGCAATATATTTAAAACCGGACTTATTATTTCCTACCCCAAACTTTCTCTTTTGCCTAAGCTCAAAAGCTTAATTTTTTGTTTTTTTTGTAAATTAAACTCTAGCTATGTGCCAAGTACTCTGCTAAGCACACAACGTGTATTATTTCATTTACTCATCACAACAGCCTTATATATATTCTTATCTTCATTTTACATGTGAGGAATTCCTGATTCCTCCTCCTTCACCCCATGTTTACCAAGTCTCTTTCCATCTAACTTCTGAAACCTATTCGTCCTTTCTGTTTTGCACCCATATCTCTGGTTGAGATTCTCTGTAGTAGCTTTCTTCATGATCTTTTCTTCTTTGTCCCTCCACCCATTGGCCTTTGCTGCCAGAATTGTCTTCCTAAATATGTACCTGATCGTGATTCTGCTATGCTTAAAAACTGACAATGGCCTTCCATTCTGTGTGAGTAAAATCCAGACTCCTTACTACGGCACATAGCACCCTTCATAATCTATTTTTGCCCTACCAAAATAGTAGCTTATTTTTCTAGGTTTCATTTTCTTCATCTCTAACAACTCCTCCAACATGAAATTTATGATTATTTGAAGAATTTCTGATACTAATGCAGTGGTCTCTTAATAGGTTTAATCTTGTTCAACGAACAGCACAAGCTTGCACAGCTCTGGCCTTTAATCTTCGTAGGAAGTCTGAATTCCTTGTGGCATTAGCTGATTATTCTATTAAATGTTTTGATGCAGGTAAGAAGTCCTCCTATTTGTCTTTTGAAATAGTATAAAATATAGACTGAAGTACTGCAAGGAGTTTACCAATCTGTACAGTTTGAGGGAGCAGTTCCCACAAGACTTCCCTTACTTCAGACACCACCCACAAGCTTGGGGGTCCCAGGACCATCCTCACTTCAGATCAGTTGACTACAAATTCAGGGTTCCCCAACTACCGTCAGGTTTGATAATTCTCTAGAACTCAGAACAGCACTATACTTACTATTACAGTTTTAATATAATGAAATGATACAAATTAGAATCAGCCAAAGGAAGAGACACAGAGTGGCATCCAGGAGGCTTCCAAAAGGGAAGTTTTCATTGTCCTCAGGGATGCGTTATCCTCCCAGGTTACCCTCCCAGTGTCAATGTGTGGCAGTCTGCACCAAGTATTGCTAACCCAGGAAGTTCATCCAAGCTTTGGTGTCAAGAGATTTTATTGAGGCTCCATTCTGTAGGCATGATTGATTGAATTATTGCCCACATTGTTGAATTCAACTGCCAGCCCTTCTCCCCACCAGAGAGAGTAGGCTAATAACACTTGGCCCAGAGACCCAACCTTTTAATCACATTGTTAAAGTTTCTGGCATCGCCATCCCCCACCCCAAATCTTCCCCTTTGCATAAGCTATCTGGTATGGTCTGAGGGACCCACCATGAATAACAAAGGTACTTCTATCACTTGGGAAATTCCAGGGGTTTAGAGGTTACCTCCCAGGAGCCTGGACAGAGGCCAGACTGCTCTTTGAAGGCCAGATTCCCTACATGTGTACAATACTTTTTAAAAAAAATATAACCTGTTTATCTTATACTGTATTATATTTTTTTTAATGGGGAATGTAGAGTTCTGTGGGCTAAACGTCTTTCTCTTTAAAAAAACTATTTTTTATTGAAGTGATTGATGTGTTATATTTAGAAAGATATATAAATAATAATAACAGTCATAATGGTGATAGTTAACACTTAAATAGTGTTTACTCTTTGCCAGGTACTGTTCTAAGACTTTATACATATTAATTTTAATCATCATAATAATCCATGGAGATAGATACTGTTACTATCTCCATTTTGAGGATGAGGAAACTAAAGCACAGAGGTAACTTGAGCAAGGTTACACAGCTTGTAATTAGTGGAGCCAGGATTCCAGCTTAGGTGGTCTGGCTGCAGAGTCCCTGCTCTTAATCACTATACTACACTCTCACTCTGCAGACAAAGAAAAAACGGTCATCCTTCAATAATGCCCAGAGACACAGTCAGTATTTTCTTAATGGGGCTCTACCTTCCCAGTCTGTTTTCTATGTATATACTTTAAAAAATATTATATCAAATATATAACTGTTTTATGTATTTTTTTTGTAGAATCATTTTACTTCATTAAAAATCTATATAGTATATTTAAAATCAATACTTAGTATTCTGCTGTTTAGATGTTTACGGTACCGTAATTATTTATCCTGTGACCTGTTGTTGGACTTTTAAACTGTTTTCCAATTTTCGGTATTACAAGCACTGCTGTGACAAAAATTCTAAAAACTAAGTCTTTATACTCACCTGTTTTCCATAGCTTCTACAATTCTCTTCTTCTCTCTTCTTAGTTCTGTCTACAGTTTCTTCTGTTTTATTGAACCCCGCGCCCCATGAAGCTCCTTCCCTAGATGCTCTCTCCACCTCCCTGACTCCCCAACTACCTCCCTCTTTCTTTCCCTTCTGTGCCAAATCCTACTTCTTCACAGCATCCATTGGTGAGTTCTGACTCTTGCTCCCCCACCTCTCCTTACTGAGACTTCTTTCTCCAAGGTCGTTAGTAACCCCTGATGTTTAAATCCTCTTTATACCTTTCGTCCTACTTCTCAACAGCATTTAATGCTTGGGTTACTTCAGGAGTCCTTCTTAGTTTTCATACTATTACCTCTCTTGGTCTCTTCCTGTCTTTCTTGCTGTTTCTGAGTAGTCTCTCCTGGATTCTTTTTGTGGTTCCTAGACTTTTGCATTGTTGACCCACATAATTTGTCAACTTTTGATTTTGCTAATTGACATTGGAAAAAATATGATTTTATTTCATAAAACAAGGGATTTTTCTCTCAACATAGTGAAACTTGGAGGGACATAATACTAGATCAAAGAGTAGTACTTTAAATTTAGCTTTATGAAAAACTCACTACGTTATCTTTTTTTTTTTTTTTTTTTTTTTTTTTTTAATTAGTTCATGCATGTATATTGTTTCTATATAGTGTTATATTTAGATGTATATAGATGTATAGTGTTTTATCTTTGTAACAATTTTACTTTTTACCATAGTCACTAAGGAGCTAGTTAGCTGGATGAGAGGACATGAGTCATCAGTATTTTCAATCTCTGTGCATGCATCAGGGAAATATGCCATCACTACCTCTTCTGACACAGCACAACTATGGGATTTGGATACCTTTCAGAGGAAAAGAAAGCTGAATATTCGCCAGTCTGTGGGTATACAGAAGGTCAGTGGGGGTGGAGGGGTGGGGTTGGGGAGTGTCTTTGCCTGTCGTGCTTCTTGGACTGGTATTTGGTCAGCAGGATTATAGATGATATAAGAGTAACAATTCACTTTATCCCACATAGCTATGTTCTCGTAAATCAGCAACAAGCAAACCTAAGTGGCCAACACAATTAAAGGTGTTGCCTGTAGCTATAGTTTATAACTTACTGTTTTTTTTCTTTAATATAGCTGTGTAACTTCAGCTCTCATAAGGTGATAGTTTTTGTTTAGTTTATTGGTTTTGTTTTAATTTTTAAGCCCCCAACATTTTGTTATGAAAAATTTCAAACATACAGTAGATTTCTAAGAATTTCACAATGAACTTGTATATACCCAGCATCTAGATTCTGCCATTAACATGTCACTATACTATCCTTTACTGTACTCTTTCTGTCCCTTTGTTCATTAATTCTTTGTGTGTCTGTCTTAAAGTAAATTACAGCCATCACTGTACTTCCCCATAGGTACTTAAGCCTCTATTTAATTAACTATGGTTCAATATTTGTTGATGTAAAATTTAAATGCAGTGAAATGAAAAAGTATTAAGTATTCATTTGTTAAGTTTGACAAATGTATACACCTATGTAACCTGGGCAGACTTATTACCATCATCCCAGAAAGTCCCATCATACATAACCCTCCCTGGATAAGCCCTGCTATGATGTCTTGCATCATAACTGTTTTTGCCTGTTCTAAAATTTTATACAAATAACTATTCAGTAATGGTTTATGTAAGGCTTTTTTCACTTGGCATAATATTCTTGAGATTTGTCCATATTGTATGTTATCAGTGGTTCTTTCTTATTGCTAATTAGTATTTCATTGTATAAATATACTACCTTTTTAAAAAAAAAATCCATTTCTTTTGCTTTTAAGGTTTAATTTTTTTTTCTTTTTCTTTTTTTTTTTTTTTCCCGTGTCCGGCAACGGATCACAACCCTCAGTGTCGCCCCCGTACCGGACCGGGACCGGCAACGGGATCGCAACCCTCGGTGCTGCCCCCGCGCCTCTCTCAGCCAGTGAGCGGGAACCGGTCTGTATGTGGGATCCGAACCCTCAGCGGGAGCGCAGCCGCGCTTCCCAAGCGGCGCACTAGCGCAGTGCGCCACCGGGCCGGCCCTAATTTTTTTTTCTATTTGATTAGCTAAATACTATCTTCAGGAGTATCCAAGTCTCCCATATGATTAATTATTTTGCTTCAGGTTATATTGTACGTGCAGTATTGCTTTTAATTTCTTGGTTATTAACATGAGCAGCCAAAATTTATTTTGTAGTCTCCATGGAAATCCCAGAGTTCTTTAGGGTGCCTTTAATAATTAAAAAGAGATAAAAGTTGTAGCCAGCTTATTCATTAGGGATTTAGGCCAAATGTCTTAGTAGGTCTTTTCTTCAGTTGCTTTATTACTTAAATTGAATTTTAAATGCCAAAGAAGAGAGCATTGGGAGTTGAACCCATAATGGAAACAGAGTTATAAAACAATGACACAAAAACCATCTGTTCTTTTTACTGTGAAATTAAAATTAGTATATACTGGATAGTTGCCAATACTAATCTTGCTTGGTCAATTAGACATTTTAGTTTAAAAAATAGGACTCCAGATGTTAGTAGTATAAGAATAAAGTTAAATGTGGCAAATGTATACATAGTGTGATGTTTGTATATAAATATATTGTTCTGAAGTAATAGAACTCCTTAGTCTATAAGTTACCAGCAAACTTTTTCTTAAAGGACCAGATAGTAAATATTTTAGGCTTTGCAGTCCAAGAGCAAAATTATATAACCATTTAAGTGTAACTATTTTAAAATGTAAAGACCATTCTTAGCTCCTGGACTATACAAAAACTGGAGGTGGGCCAGATGGTTACCACTCCTGGCTTACGCTGTTGAAATAGGAAATAACTATAACATAATCTTAAAGTAAAACTTTAATTATTATCAAATTTTTACTAAACCTATATTTTTATTCCAGTGTCTGATTCAGTATTTAAAATAGAACTTTTATTTAGTTATTTTGATGACACATGAGATCCTTGAAGTGACTTTCTTTGGCTCTTCTGCTATGGCGCTCATTTTATGATGGCTCTTTTAATCTAAAACAGACTCCCACTTTTTTTTTCCATGACATTAATTTTTTGGAGAGACCAGGGCAGTTGTCTTGGAAAATGCCCCATATTTTGGATTTGTCTTACTGTTTCATAATTGTTGTTTAACTTGTTTTTCTCCGCATTTCTTGTAAACTAAAAGTTAAATCTAAGCACTTGAGTAGATTCGTCTTAAACACTTTGACAAGCTATCTACCTTATGTGTAAGATGAAAATAGTAATAGTACCTACCTCAAGATTGATTTCAGCATTGAATCTGTTAATCTATGCAGAGCACATAGCGTAGTACTCATGGCGGCTGCTATTTCTGTTATTGTTGTTATTATTATTGAGCTCTGTTATGGGATTGTTTCAATGCAATTAGATATGTTCTTAAAAAGCTTTAAGGTAACTGTATTATTTTCCTTTTGGACTATATTATATGGGTGCACAATCCCTTATTAACAATTCAAAAACCCAAAAGTGTTTGAATAACTCAGTGGCAAAATATGATTTGACCTGAATTCATTTGGCAGAAAAATCTGAACTGAATTGACATGAGGCTGAAATAGTAATAAGAGTATGTGGTGTTGCCCCAGGTCCCCTGGGGATTCTACATAATGTTATAGAATAATATGTGTCATATCACCTTTCTAAAATCGGAGATAATTCTGAAATACCTCTGACCCCAAGGGTTTTAGATAAGGAACTATGGGTCTTTGATTTCAAAGTGTTTTTAAAGAACCTACCACTCTAACCCCTTTCCACTGATTTTTATATGTAGTACTAGCATTAACTAATGCTGGTAGTTATAGATACCAGTTGTTGAGTACCTACAATGTACCTAGCACTTTATATAGTTATTTTTATGTTTGATAATTCTAAGAGGTAAATACTATTATCCCTATTTCACCAGAGGGGAAATTGAAGTTCAGAAACATTAAATAGCTTGTCCAGTGTCACATAGCTTATAAGAGAATTGCTGTTTGAAGACAAACCTGTCTTACTCCAAAGCCATTCCATTATACCATATTGCTTCTCAGGTGAACCGGTTACAACTTTTCAAATTAGTAAATTTTGATTCCTTTGTTGACACTTGGAGGGAGGATATTCGGTTCTTTAGTTAGAGATTTTGAAATAAATCCTGGGATTTGTGATTACCGTGGTTCAGTAGGTACTGGAAAAGACTGTGATGGATATTAGAAAACATTTAATAAAGAATGTGTTACTGAACTTAATCCAGTCTCTGTGTACAATGGCACTCAGTAAATTTCTGCTAAATTGTGCATTTGACCTCAACTTGCTAATATTATTATCCTGAACTCTTTAAAAGAGCTCACATACCTCTGAAAACTTAATTGGAAAGCTTAGGATTTTCATATTTTACAAGGAAAAACTGGCCCCATTCTTGAACCCAAACCCCCAAAAGTACATTTTGTTAATGTTTTTGAAGTTTTTCCTAAGTTTTTTATGTTTGTCAAGAGATGATACTATCTAAATAATAATAACATGATTCATTAGGAACGATTTTGTAATCATTAAAATCTGGCAATTAAAATCACAAATCTAGTAATGAATAATCATGCAGGCAATAATCTATCACAGCTATTTACCTAAAATAGCAGTTGATGCTCATTAACTGTTAAGCTTTTGCTTCTCCCAGTAGGAATAAACTTTATTACTTTTCTAGAAAAATGACTGCTAATTATAATAAGAATTTACGTAAGTCACTTTTTGACATCAGGTTTGAAACAGTGTTTTAATGCATTCATTATAGATTATAATGTGTTCATTGCAGATTCTTTCTGTAAGTCCTTTATATTATAGATCTTCCTAACACAGTGAACTTGTTAGCAAAAGATCTACCAGAGATTGACTTTAGCAAAGTGAGCCAAGGGCAAAAGCAAGGAGCTGGATCAGGCCCTTGCCTGATTTATGAGCATCTGATGTAGCTTAGTTAACATCTTTTATTGTGTTATATTGGCATTAATCTTAAGTAGATTATTTTAATTAACCAGTGTGTTCCGCGGTATATTACATATGTGTATATTTTGTACATATGACATGCAATATCATATTTGAGACCTTTGAAGCTTTTATGAGAACATGTTGGTCAATTTTAATTAAAATTTTCTATTATCAAAAGGAAGCATTGTTTAGTGCTTATGTAATAGAAAAATGGAAATTGAGAGAATAAAATGATGACGTTTTTAACTTTGCTGTCAATTAATTTCACTCAGTTGTCCATTAAATAAATTGAATCTCTAATAAAATATGATCATATATGCATTTTCAACTTTTTACTCTTATAAATAATGCTTTACATACATTAAAACACATTTATCTTTTTTTTTTTTTTTTGCAGCTGGCCAGTACAGGAATTAAACCTTGGACATTGGTGTTACCAGCACCACACTCTAACCAACTGAGCTAACTGGCCAGCCCTACGTTTATCTTAAAATCCTTTGCCAATCATTCCCAAGGGACTAATTCTTAGAAGTAAACCCACTAGTTTAGGAGAGATATATTTTACAGCTGTTGAGACATGTTATGGAGTATCTTTAATCAATTTTACTCCTAGCAGTAGTATATAACAGTGCCCTTTCTCTATACTTCACTAACATTTAGTATTTTTTAACACTAATTAGTAGTATTTAATATACTGTTTATACTAGTATATAGTTTGTAAGTATGTTAGTGTGTGTGTGTGTGTGTGTGTATATATATATATATATATATATATATATATACTTTGTATATGTATATATGTTATGTGCATTATTTTTAGACAAATTTGATACTCAAAATTGTCTCTCATTTTCATTTGAATCTTTTAATGTAAAGTGAAATTTTTAAAATCGTTATTTATAATTTTGTGAATTGCCTAATCATTATAGTCACCTATTTTTTATTTGAAGGGATTTACCTTTTCCTTTTAGTTTACGGTAGTTTATGAAACATTGGTATTTTCCCTTGTCATATAAGTATATTTGTCTTCAGTTTAAGAAGAGATAATTTTTAAAAAACTTACTACCTATGTAATTTTAAATTTAAAGAGGTCTATTCAAACCTTATGTGAAAAATAACTTTTTCTCTCCCTCTTTAGGTTTTCTTTCTACCTTTGAGTAATACCATCCTGAGCTGTTTTAAGGATAATTCCATCTTTGCCTGGGAATGTGATACTCTTTTTTGCAAATATCAATTGCCAGCTCCACCTGAAAGCTCTAGTATATTATACAGAGTGTTTGCTGTAACCAGGTAACGTGCATTTTAAGACACTGAGAATTTTTTTTTAATTTAATTTTTGGTGAAAAATTACAAATTTTCATTCAACTTTCATTCAGTATCTTCTTGTCATATAAGAAAAAGTTTCCTTCAAATTTAGATGTGGTCTGCAGACTTTTTTTTTTTAACTTTTTTGTGCAAAATTTCAAATATGCAAAAAAATAGAAAAGTGCATGAACCCCTGAGTACTCTCATCAGTGACAATAATCATCAACTAATGGCCACTCCTATTTTTATCTATAACTCTGCCTACTTCTCTACCACATTGTTTTGAAGCAAAGTCCAAGCATATCACTTCATCTATAAATATTTCAGTGCATAGCTCAGAAAAATAAGGGCCCGCTTTGAAACATAACCATGGTATTATCACACTTTTTAAAAATTAACAAGAATTTCTTAATATTGTCATATATCTAATCAGTGTTCAAATTTCCCTGATTTGTCTAATACCTGTTTTTTATGATTGATTTGTTCAGTCAGAAGCAAAACAAGGTTTATACATTGTGTTTGACTGATATATCTCTCTTTTTTATTGTTTTCTTATACTTTATGTGTTGAAGAACTAGTCATCTCTCCTATAGAGTTTTCTGTATTCTGGATTTTGCTCTTTGTGTCCATGTGGTGTTGTTTAATACGATCCTCTGTCATCTATATTTTCTGTATGCTGGTTATACCTGTATCTCCTAAAAACTGGAGGCTTGATCTGATTCAAGGTCAAGAAGGCACTATAGGTAGTTTGTGTATTTTTATCAGGAGCAACATAGAACACTTTTCTCTTGTGGTATGAATAACCATTGATGATCATTACCTAGATCAAGTATTGCATTAGAGGTTTGCAAAATGGTGCTATTCTAATTCTATCATTCCTTCTTCACTTATTAAGTAGATATCTTCTATAGAAGGAAACCTACTCTCAGGCTGCCAGTTAGCTCAGTCAGTTAGGGCGTGGTGCTGATAACACCAAAGTCCAGAGTTCGATCCCTGTGCCGGCCAGCTGCCAAAAAAGAAAGAAACTTCCTCTCATCAACTCTTTGGTGACTTTGATGTTTAGTTTGTAAAGGAAAGGCAGGATAAACGTGTGATGTCCCTTTCTTTTTTCTTAAGCCAGTTTTCAAAGTAGTGAATTGGTTTATTGACGTCTTTCAAAGGTGGCACATGAAGTTTTTTATCTTTAATACTTGTAAACTCATGGATTTTACATAGTTGACATGTTTTAGTCCACTGTAGCTGTTGTTTGTAGGGATGCTGTAGTTCTCTCATCTTTTGACCAGTGGTATCCTCTTCAAGTTGGATTTTTGAATGCTTTTGCTACAACCCCAGTTGTTCATAATAGCTTTCATGCTTTCTGGTATGACAAGATGTTCCAAGTTTATCTTGTACATTTCCTGCCCCAAGCCTGGAATCAGCTCTCTCTCTAAAGAGTCTGGGTTCATTTTAGTGGGAAATAGTTTGAGACCCTAATCTGGACACTAGTGGTACTTCCTCATTGATTGGGCCAATCATTGTTTCTAGCTTTTTCAGTGGAAAGAGCTGGGAAGTAAGTGTTAATTCCTCTTTTCTCTCACCCTCTTCTCCTAGGTGATCAGTAAATACCATCAATTCTACCAAACTGCATATTGAATTGGTCAATTTTTTTGTCAATTTGTGCGGGTATTACCCTAGTCTCTTTCGTACTACTATAGTAGCCTCCTTATTTGGTCTCCCAGTTTTCAATCTTATTTACTAAAATCAAGCTCTGCACAACAGATAGTTTGGTCTTTGTTAATCATTAAGTCAGATCGTGTCACTTTCCTATTCAACCCCTTCAAAGGCTTTCCAGTGTACTTGGAGTAGAATCCAAATTCCCCAGCATATTCCGTGAGGCCTCCTGTCATCTGGCCTCGGCCTCCCTCTCCTCCTTCATCTCACTTCCTTCCTCTTACTCTACTGCAGCCACACTTGAGTGTGGCTTCTTACTTTTTCTCATATATTAACCTTATTCCTTTCTCAGCACTTTTGTACTGGCCAGTCTAGAATACTGACCAGCATGGAATTCTTCCTCCAAATCGTCCCATGACTGGCCTATTCATTTCAGTTAGGCAGCAGATATTCCTCCTTTCCCAGCTTTCATCACCTCGTTTTATCATTCTCACCAGCTGGGATCAGGTTCATTTGTTTATTTGTTTGCCTTTCTCTAGACTGAAAATCTCGTAAGAAAAGAGCAGGATTACCTGACCTGTTCAGTCTTACCTGACTTGCTCACTAGTGTGTCCCTGGCTCCTGGAATGACACCGGGCTTATAGTAGACACTTTAGAAGTCTTTGTTGAGCAACAGCCTTACAAGTCAATACAACTTACTCTTTTTGTACCTTATAAACATAAAGTAGCTTTCTTTGAATAGCAAAAAAGTTTGGGCTTTTTTGTTTTTTCATATAGCAATGCACTACCAATGCTGTATAGTTGTGTGTAAAGTATAGTAAGTTGGATATTGGTAAGTGACTTTGAGATTATGCAATAAAATACAAATGTTACTCAGAAAACCTCCCATCAAGTCATTAAACAAATGTTTGTTAAGTTGTTAAGCTGGTACCTTAGCAAAATAGGTAAAGATATATATATACCATAAACCTGAGTTATGCATGTGACTATTTAATAAAAATTAAATAAAATGTAAAATTAATTTTCTCAGCACTAGCCACATTTCATGTGCTCAGTAATCACATGTGGCTAGTGGTGACCATATTGGACAGAGTAGATATAGAGCATTTTTATCACCACAGAAAGTTCTATTGGACACTGCTACTATAAACAATTCAGCTAGTCTTACTGTATCACCTTTTTATTACATAGAGATGGCCGGATCCTGGCTGCTGGAGGCAAATCAAATCATCTTCATTTGTGGTGCTTGGAAGCTGCACAGCTCTTTAGAATTATCCAGATGCCTACTAAAGTTCGAGCCATTCGCCATCTGGAATTTCTTCCTGATAGTTTTGATGCTGGTTCTAATCAGGTTAGTAACATAAATGTAGGAGTTTGTGCTTTTTGAGAAAGATCACATAAATTTCTGAACTATATTACCTCTTTTTAACTTATGCCCTGTTACAAGAATTTGACATTGCAAAAATATTATTTTTGTGAAGAGTCTAAAATTGAAAAAAATTTTTAGTCTTATGTTTTTTTTTAATTACAGATAATTTATAATTTTTATAAAATCAATGTGCTTTAAATTTATTTTGTACTTTATGGTTTGCAGGGTGCTTTAAGAAGTTATTTTTCATTTTATCCTTAATTTTTTCAGCATAGGCAGGAAAGGTATTCTCCCCATTTTACAGATTATGACATGAAAGCTTAGAAACGTTAAGTGACTTGTCTGCACTGCTGTTAATTATAAGGATTAAAGGTGGGACTAGAACTAAAATTTTCTCACTTTATTGCACTGTTTTATTTACTGTAACTGGTTGCCTCACTTCTGTGAACCATGTTTTATTTGTGTCTTTCCTTAGTTTACAAAGTACTTCTCTTTTCCCCCTCACTTTCCTCAGGAGTTGAGTAGAGTCAAACCTTAACTTCCTTATTTTAAATTTACTGTCATGGATCTCACACTTTAACAAATTAGATATATGTTTTACATATATATGTATGTGTGTATATATGTATCATATCTATTTTTGTTAAGTTTTTCAAATAGGTAGTATGTTTACATGGTTGAAAAAACATGAAACATATAAAAAGGCATAATGTCTCTCACTCCTCTCTCCCATTTGTCTCGTTATTCACCCCTTCCCTCATAGCCCTTCTTATTGTATATAGTGTTTATGTTTTTCCCACTATTTTATGCAGCCTTGCACCTTTTTTTCTTAATTTGGAAATTTTTCTGTATCAGTTTAGAACTTCTTTCCTTTTTACAGCTGCATAGTGTTTCACAGGGTTTTTTAAAACCAGTCTGTTATTATAATAAGCAACATCAACATCGCAGGCAATCACTGCTTACCAGCCACTGGCACTGGGAAAAGAACCTGTGTCTAGACAAGGCAGCAGAGGGGTTTATTTGCTTAAATTTTTTGTTACGTCTTTTTTGGCTTTGTTTTGCAGCTGGCCGGTATGGGGATCCAAACCCCCATCCTTGGTGTTATCAGCACCATGCTCTAACCAACTAAGCTAAGCAGCCAGCCCTACATGTTTTTAATTTGTCAAATTATATATGAGTTAAAATTTTTTAAATTTTCCCCTTAAAAAGACTAGCTTCCCTCTTACCCCTCCACTACCCTTGCATCTTACAAACTCTCTTGTCCACTCCCCAAATGTTAGTTACGGTGGCTGAAAACATGCAGACAGTGGGCAGCCGCACCAGAAGTCACAGGTTTGTGTGGGGGCAGCAGAGCTGATGTTAACATTGATTAATCTACTGAAATGGTAAAGGAAGACAAACCTCCACCCTCCTTGCTTCTGATAGCTGGTGAAGAGGTAAATGTTAGGAACTGTCTGTCTTAGTTCATTTTGTGCTGCTACAACAGAATGTCACAGACTGAGTTATTTATAAACAATGCAAGTTTATTTCTCAGGATTCTGGAGGCTGGGAAGGCCAAAATCAAGTGATCTTGCCACATCATAACACAGCAGAAGGCATCACACATGTGAGAGGGAGGAGGGGCCAGGGTGCCGAGTTTGTCCTTTTATGTCAAACCCACTCCCATGATAACTATATTAATTCATTCTTGAGGGCAGAGCCCTCATGGTCTGATCCCCTCTCATTAGTCCCCACCTCCCAACACTGTTGTATTGGGGATTAAGTTCCCAGCACATGCTTTTTGGGAGATAACATTCAAACCATAGCACTGTCTAATCTTCTCTGCCTCCTGTGTATGCTATCACTGGATGTGGCCTGCCTGTAGGAAGGGAAGATTCTTAGGTCACCTTTCCATAGTCCCCCAGCATGGATTCCTTACTGGCTCTAGTTAGAGCCAGGCTTATCTGAGCCTGAATAGGGCAAGTCAACATGAGCCACAATTAGTGATTTTAAAATATGTAATGGCTCACTAAGAATTGAATCTTCTCTGCTGCCCCCCCCCCTCAAAAAAATACATACATATGTATGTATATGTGTATGTAGTTTGACTTTCAGATAAATATGTAATGGCTCACTAAGAATTGAATCTTCTCTGCTGCCCCCCCCCTCAAAAAAATACATACATATGTATGTATATGTGTATGTAGTTTGACTTTCAGACATTGGACTTTCAGATGCTTTTAGGAACTTATTGTTTCTGTCTACTCTTAGGTTCTTGGAGTGCTAAGTCAAGATGGTATTATGAGATTTGTCAATATACAGACTTGTAAACTTCTCTTTGAAATTGGAAGCCTTGATGAAGGAATTAGCTCATCAGTAATTAGCCCACATGGGCGGTACATCGCATCTATTATGGAAAATGGAAGTTTGAACATATATTCAGTTCAAGCTTTAACCCAGGAAATAAATAAGGTACGTGATCAAGTAATGAACATCAGTTTTTAAAAACACTTATTGTGTCGTCAAGAATAAAATTGTTGCGCTACTATTTTCTAACTTCCTTGGGGTTTATCCATTTTTCTGAAGATATTTTGTTGCTTTTACTCCCAAAACCACATCTCCAAACTTAATTTCTCACCTATGCTCTTCCTAAATTTTTGCCTTTCTAAAGGACATCTCTGTTTGAATTCTCTATTTCATTCAAAGTGTCATTCATAATCTCCTTCCCAAAAGAGGTCTTCAATCCTAGTTTCTTCATTTCTGTCTCACCCTTTATTTCCATCTTGTAGGCTCAATGGCTTGGAGCTCTATAACTGTTCCTATTCTTTTATTTCCTAAATCTAGTAAATACTAAGTCATATAATTTCTTAAATTTGAAATACCTATATTTGTGCTGCCTATTCTTCATCTCCATAATAGCCATCCTTGTATTGGTCCTCATTTCTCCTGAATAATCATAATTTTTAAAAATATCCCAAATTCAGAGCCCTTAGCGCCTGCTCCTGCCCATCATTCCACCTTCTATATAACATTTTTCTAAAATAATGCTTTTATCATCATTTCTCAAATAGTGGTAGTTTAGTGGCTGTCTTCCTTCTGCCTGTTGAATTAAATCCAGACGGTTGTTGGTGTCCTCTCTAATCTTGTCTACCTGTCTAACTTATTTCCACATACTTATAACTTCCCTCCTTATCCTCTATAGATACTATTCTTATTTCTGCATCTGTCATACACACTATTCATTTCATTTAAAATGCACTCCCCACTCCTTTTCTATGTTTATCTAAAATTCCCCCAGGTAACAAGTTAGATTTTCTGTGTGCAGCCTTCTCAGTCTGGAATTGTGCCTTGGTGGCACCAACAGGGACTTAGCTGATCACCAGGTCTCACCCTCTCATTTCACAGTGGAAGGAGTTCATGCCCCAGCCTAATGACACAGCTAGTTCCTAGCAGGTCCAGGTGTTCTGATTCTTAATGCAATGTTCTTTTTTATGCGCTTCCTCCTTTTTGTCTTCTTATCTTTTTTTACAAGTAATAAGTGTCTCATTGCAGTAAAAAGTCAAAAAATATAGATAAGCAAATAGATAAATAAAAATCACTCAAAATCTCATCATCCTCAGATGATTTTGATGTGTACTTTCCCCATCTTTTTTCTATGTGTGTAAGTGTATATATAGTCATTCTTTATTATTTGTAAATTTGTATTTGAGAATTTACCTACTCACTAAAATTTATTTGTATAAATATCCCCCAAATCAATACTTGCAGTGCTTTCACAGTCATTCACAAACACGTGCACAGCTGCTAAAATTTTGAGTCACCTGATGCCCTTGTTCCCAGTTGAATTTGAATAAGACAACACCTCGCCTTGCCTTCTTGTTTTAGCTCTTAACCTGTAAACAAGTATTTTTTATTCGTGGTCTGTTTAGTGCCATATTTTTTGCATTTAGGGGCTTTTTATTATGATTTTGCTGTTTAAAACGTCCTCCAAGCATAGTGCTACCATGCTGTCTAGTGTTCCTAAGCACAAGAAGGCCGTGATGTGCCTTATAGAGAAAACACCTGTGTTAGATAAACTCATTTGGGAGTTACTTATTGTTCTATTGGCTGTGAGTTCAATGATAATGAATCAACAATATATATTAAATTAGGAGTCTTTAGACAGAAACAAACATAAAACAAGGTTATGTATTGATTGGTTGACAAGAATGTTGTGACCAGAGGATCCCAGAAACCTAACTCTGTATTTCTCATAGGAGCTGTCATTCAGTATTCACTAACTTGGTGTTCATGCTGACTTTATAGAAATACTGCAAATAATGAGAAGTCAACTATATGTATATACGTGTGTGTGTGTGTGTGTGTGTATGCATACATTTCCCCTAAACATATTGTTTTATACTCTGCTATTCTTGCTTATATTGTTATAAGTATTTATATATAATATATAGTTATGTACTTATATACATTCGATCTACTATTATATATTCATAAATTTTAAAAATTTAGTAGTATATTATCATCTGCTCTTAATGAGAGAGTTTTCAGCCTCTTCAAATAGTCGATTTTACTGTACTAGCTAAACCTTCTTAATAAAGGCATGGAGCAATCTGAGAAAAACCATGGTAAGAGTGAGTCATTGATTTCCTCTCTGCTGTTATTTGTTGAATAAATTGAGATCACATTGAATAGAAAAGCTAGTTTAGAAGTAGAATAGTCTTTTCTCTTTTGGACACATTACCAACACCACCAGTGTCTTTATGGCTGTTCCAGGCTGTGTAAATGCCCAGCTACATAGTCTCTATAAATCTAAACTTACCTGTGTCCCATTCTTTCCACATTTTGTTTTCTTGTCTCATGAGAATTTCTGATATTGTGCTAATAAAGCAAATGAATTCGTATGTGTTAAAGTTACAACACTACAAGGTATGTCAAATCAGATTACATCTCCAAGTTTTAACTTTTGGGAGACGGTATTTCATGGTAGAGGATGAAGATCAAGCAGGGGAAAATGTGATGTTAGATTAGAAATTTTTTTTTTTTTTTTGTCTTTTGTCTTTTTCCGTGTCCAGCAACGGATCGCAACCCTCAGTGTTGCCCCCGTACCGGACCGGGGACCGGCAATGGGATTGCAACCCTCGGCGTTGCTCCCGCGCCTCGCTCAGCCAGTGAGCGGGAACCGGTCTGTATGTGGGATCCGAACCCTCGGGCGGGAGCGCCGCTGCGCTTCCCAAGCGGCGCACTATCCAGTGCGCCACCAGGCCGGCCCTAGATTAGAAATTTTAATAAAAATTTAGAAGAATGGATTGAAGTTAGAAAATAGTTCAGTGATATTAAAGATGGGCGATATTCAGAAGTCAGACCACTATTAATTTCATCCCATAGACGAAGAATTGAATTATAGAATGTCAGTAGTCATTGTGTTTTAATTGTATTTGGATATCAGAAAGTCTGAGTTACTATATCTACTCATTTCCTTTGAATAAGAAAGGTTTTTTTATTTCAAAGAGATTATTTATGGGGAAAATGTCCTTAGCGAGTCATTTTACCTTAAGTAAATTGAAGTTTTTGGGTTTTTTCCCACTGTTTGATAGGCCCCATAAGATTATTTATGGGGAAAATGTCCTTAGCGAATCATTTTACCTTAAGTAAATTGAAGTTTTTGGGTTTTTTCCCACTGTTTGATAGGCCCCATAAAAATGAAGGTTTAGATTCTAAGTTGTGCTGTCTGAAATGACTATTGAGCTGTTGATGCAGTAAAGAGCTAACACAATCATTATGGAGATTAAAACATTTAACCAAGGACAGAGGTGCAGCGGTCCCATGCTTCCAAAGGAAAGTTATTTGGTAGTTTCCTCTCAGAGAAATTTCACTTGAGCCCCCAGAATATTAGGTGTTTCTCTCAGCATTCTAGAGAGCATTCTGGAGTGCTTTCTCTGCTATAGATTATCACTGTACTAGTAACTTTGTCATGCAAGTGTAAACATGGTTTGGTATTATATGATTTATGGCCAATTTTCAAGGAATAATTAAATTCTACTTATTGCTTTTATTAATCATGTATCTTTATTATGTTCTTCAAAGGAATTTAGCAGAAATTTGCTTTGCTTTATTACTCAACAAGAAAATGTTCTGGCCATTTTGCATACACTTTTTGCCTGAAGAGTAATTGTATGTATTAAGGCTTGTGACTAAAGTAAAGCAAATTTTGGAAATCACATATTAACAGGCATATTTTCCAAGGATATTTTCTGGAATATATGTATTTTTCCTTTTAGCCACCTCCTCCTTTAGTGAAAGTGATTGAAGATTTGCCCAAGAGTAAACTGAGTTCCAGTGATCTTAAAGTGAAAGTAACGTCAGGAAGAGTACAGCGACCAGCAACATCCAGGGAAAGCAAGATGCAAACTAGAATATTAAAACAAGACCTGACTGGCAATTTTGAAAATAAAGAGGTAAGAATATAGGATAATTAAACTTTTGTTTGTCATGGCTCTGCTGTAGACAGGTCTTGTGATTCCAAGGCTATCGTCACTCTTCCCTCTCTTGGGAATTAAAGGAATGTTATATGAAGAGAAGAAAATTGCAACTGAAATTACAAGACGCTTTTAAACTTTTTAATATAAATTTAATACATGTTTATGGCTTTTAAAAAAGTCAAACACTTTAGAATTGCACCATCCTATATGCTAGCCACTGGAATTTAAAACATGTTAAACAGGGTACCTATATAACCAGCCTCCAGTAAAAACCCTGAGCACAAGGGGCCACATGGGGCTGATGAGTACTTGAGGCATGGCTAGTCTGAGTTGAGATGAGCTGCAAGTACAAAATACACACTTATAATAAGAAAGGGTGAAAACATAGTATGAACAGAATGTAAAATACCTTATTAATCCTTTTTGTATTAATTATATTTCGAGATCATAATATTTTGATTATCATTTTGCCTGCTTTGCTTTACTTTTTTAATGTGGTTTCTAGAAAATTTTAAATCGCATTTGTGGCTTGTGTTATACTTCTGTTAGACAGTACTGGTATAGAAGGTTATAAAGGGGAGAAAATAAAAGCATACTTTTTTCCTTCCCTCTTCCCTGTCCTGCTCATCATTGCACTCCCTGGAGGTAACCAAGGTACTAATAGTAAAATTACCTCTGAGGAAAGGGATTTCAGTGAGTTTTATTTTCTTCTTTAAATAAATTTTTTGTGTTTTCCTAATTTTCTGCAAAGCACATATATTACTTTAGAACAACAAGAAAATACAATTTTTTAAAGAAAATACAAATATTAATAAAGAAGTTAACTAATATTATTTCCAAGTTATTTTTTAACTTTTTAGTGGCAATAAATTAATAAATACACAGACACATGGAGTACACATAAGTATACAGTTCAATGAATAGTCACAAAGTGAACACAACCATGTTACCAGCATTTAGATCAAACAGTAGAACATTAGCAGAACCTTCCTGCTCCCTTCCAGATACTCCCCCCCTTATCTCCAAAATAACTACCCTCCTGCTATACTGTAGATTAGTCTAGTAGATACTGTCAAACAGTTTTCCCAAGTTGTGGATTGAGCCAATTTACATTCCCACCAGAAGTAGTTGAGAGTTCCAGTTGCCCCATATTCTCACCAACACTTGGTATTTTTCACATTAATTTTAATAACTTCTTTTTTCTTTAAGCATTTTTAAATTATGAAACTTTACATACACAAAAACATGTACAAAACAGGTTACTGCTTAATGAAAAATAATAAAAAGATCATGTATGTACCCTGAATTGGGTGGCTCCAAAAGAATCCTCAGGTTTGGTTATTTATTAGGAATTAGCATGTAGTCGTATTCAAAACTATGATATAGTGAAAGAATACAAAGCAAAATCAACAAAGGGAAAAGGCAGTAGAGTGAAGTCTAGGGGAAACCAAGCACAAGCTTCCAGGAGTTCTCTCTCACTGGAATCATAGGAAATACATGATCCTCCAGCAACAAATTTTGACATGTGTGAAGTGTTTACCAGGGAAATTCATTAGAGACTCGGTGCCTAGGGTTTTTACTGGAGGCTAGTTATGTAGGTACCCTGTTTAACATGTTTTAAATTCCAGACTCCCAGAAGGAAAGCAGGTGTTCAGCATAAACCACATTGTATAAACAGTTTAGGCACAGTGAACCATTTTTACTGGTTTTGGGGATAATGGGAACTCTCCTGAAATCCAACTTCAAGATGCTAGCCAAGGACCAACCTTGCAAGTAGGTCTTCTGAAGATAGGAGACTCAGATCTGTTATGTTAACTCTTTTCTGCACATATCCATTTTCACGTTAAGAAGTAGAGCATTACCACTAACTTTGGAGCAGTGTGTTTATCCCCAGTCACATTTTTCTCCCTACTCCATGGCTATAACCATTGTCCTTACTTTGTGTTGATTATGTCCTTGAGTTTCTTTTTAGTTTTATAACCTCTTCATGTAACCCTAACCAAAATAAAGACTGAATAGCAGGCACAGTCTAGTTGTGTAAAGATTGGGCAATATTGCTCCTATCTGATGAATGCTCTAATAAGAAGGTAAGCTGAATGATATCTCTGAGACATGATCTGGCTTCAGCTTTCCTGAGAGTTTGCAGGAGGCTTTTCTGAGAAAACTAGTGCGTATGGTCATGCATGACTTCTGGGAAGTAAAAGGCCCATCATGGCCAGAGTATCCAGCATTGTTCTAGTATGGGTCAAATCTGTGAGGGAGTGGGGCTGCTTCTAAGGAGCCCATAGGCAGGTCTAAGGAGTAGATCAAAGTAGAACCCTTCTGGGGTGGCATGCATGTCCTCAACGAATCTTGTCATCGGGACATGGAAAGGGAAGTAGGAACTTCATCAGCTCATGGGCAAGACAAGAACAGATAAAATTCAGGCCAAACTCACTGAAGTATTCTATCCTTTGTTTAAAAAGAGGCTTTGGGCTGGCCAGTTAGCTAAGTAGGTTAGAACATGGTGTTGTAACACCAAGGTCAATGGTTCGGATCCCTACACCACCACCCAGCCGCCAAAAAAAAAAGACAAAGAGGCTTCAATGGCAGCAGGTATCTTGGTGACGACAGCAATCAACATGTCTCTTTCCTGGATCGTATTGCTCCAGTCTGGACTAGTTGCCCTCTCTTTCCTGGTACATGGCTCTCAAATGGGAATCTTCATTCACCATCATCTTGGGTTTTCCCTTCATCCCTCTCTTATGTTGGATTACCTCTTTTATATGGTAAAAAGAGCACTGAACTAAGTCAGAAAATCGGGCTTTGAGTCTTGAGCCAAGATTTACCAGATTTGTGACCACAATCAACCAAGTCACTGAACTTATCTGACCTTCCTATTTTCTTGGATAAAGAAAGGAAGACAACATCCCATCTGTTTCATATAGTTGTTAGGATCAAATAAGATAATCTATGAAAATAGCTTTATAATCCTAAAACCTGTAAAATATTTTTTCCATTAAGATAAAAATTGACTTAAAATATTTAGATACGGGACTATCAGCTGGATAAAGAAAGGAAGACAACATCCCATCTGTTTCATATAGTTGTTAGGATCAAATAAGATAATCTATGAAAATAGCTTTATAATCCTAAAACCTATAAAATATTTTTTCCATTAAGATAAAAATTGACTTAAAATATTTAGATACGGGACTATCAGCAGAAGCTGATGTCTATTAATGTTTTATAGGATAAAATGGTGAATGAACTAGGTAAGTTTTTCTATCAACTTGTCCTTCATGCTTTTATGCTAGGAGTTATCCACAGTTTTAAGGGAAAAAAAAGGGGGGGGGGAATATCAGAATGCATTGCTCTTGGTACAGAGGTTGGCAAATGACAGCTGTGGGCACAGTCCAGCTACTCAGGCTAAGATTGGTTTTTACATTTTTAAATGGTTAGATTTTTAAATTGTTACATAAACATCTATAATATTGCTGGCTGGTTAGCTCAGGCGATTAGAGCATGGTGTTATAACACCAAGGTCAAGGGCTAGGATCCCCATACCAGTCAGCCACCAAAAAAAAAAAAAAGAAAAAATCTACATAATAGCCTTGATTTTTCCTCTTGGTCAACAAAGCCTGAAATATTTACTAAGCAGCCCTTTACAGAAAAAGTTTGCCAAACCCTGGTCTAGGCAAGGTAATATGTCATGAGCTTTATTTCCTATGTATATGACGTTCAGAGGGGAAGGAGAGAGAGAGAAAAGAGAGTCCTGTGATATAAAAATATTTCTGTGTGTTGTGTTCTAAAGTTGGAAAGCCACTGTGGACTAGACTACCATTTGTCTTCTTCTCATCGTTAGGATTATGTACTTATTGATACTGTCTTTCTCTTTATAGAATGAATTGTCAGATGGATTAAACAAAAAACGTTTACAAATCTTATTAAAAGGCTATGGTGAATATCCAACAAAATACAGGTAAAATTTAAATTCTTTTTGTGTTTAAATTAATTTTACTCAAAGTAATTTGTTTGGTTAAAACTATATTTTAATTTCAGAATGTTCATTTGGCGCTCCCTGCTGCAACTGCCTGAAAATCATACTGCATTTAGTAGCCTCATAGATAAGGGTACTCATGTGGCATTTCTCAACCTTCAGAAGAAATACCCCATCAAAAGTAGGAAACTACTGAGAGTATTACAGAGGTATGTTCAGTATATCGCAGCAATATGTATGAAACCTGTAATTAATAATTGCAGTGTTTTAAAATCCTGTTTATAAAATATTGTTCATTCGGCTTTGGTCATCCTTGTATGGTATGTTGGTTTGTTTAATTTAAAAAACAAAACATATGCACACGTGCATATATATTACATATTAGTATTAGTTTGTATTGTGTTCTAGAAAATAGGAACCTTTCAGATAATCTAAAGGAAGAAAGAGACATAGTAGAAAGAGCTTTGAATTTGAAGGCTGAAATTTAGTTTTGAATCCTTGTTCCACCACTTAATAACTGTGGTGTAGGATGTTGTCATTTTACTTCACTCAGCCTTAGTTTCTTTATCTGAAAGTGGAGGTAATAACACCAACATTATTAGATTATTGGGGAGATTAGATGAGAATCTCTCTCTCTCTTTTTTTTTTTTTTTTTTTTTTTTATGACCAGTAAAGAGATCCTAACCCTTGACTTGGTGTTGTCTGCACCACGCTCTCCCAAGTGAGCAACCGGCCATCCCTATATGAGATCTGAACCCGTGACCTTGGTGTTATCAGCACTGCACTCTCCCAAGTGAGCCACAGGCTAGCCCCGAGAATCTCTTTTACAGTGCTTATGCTAGAGTACAATTCATAGTAAGCACCCAGTAAATGTTTATAATATAATGTAGCTAACCCTTTAAAATGCTTTTCATGTATTAGGCACTACTAAATATACATTTAACTTATTTTACAAGTAAAGAAACCTAAGGCATAGAGGATTAGGTAATATGATTGAGTCACACAAGTGGTAGAGCTGAGATTAAGCCCAGTCTCCAGAGTCCAAAACTATTTTTAATAAAAAGTTTATATTATGAAATATTTCAAGCATAAATAAAAGTAGAATAATATAATGAATATCCTCATGTCCATCACGCACCTTCAACAATTGCCGACTCATGGCCAATCTTGTTGCACTGATATTCCCAGTCACTCTATCTCTCTATCCTCCCCCCAGCATACACGTCCTCCCCCCAACATACACGTACTCCCCCTGCTAAAAATTTACATATGTATCTCCAAAGGATAAGGGCTATTTTTCTTTTCTTTAAAATAAGCACACTACTATTATCACACCAAAAAAACAATTAACAGTAATTCTTTTATATCCTCAAATATCCAGTCAGCGTTTCTATTACTCTGATTATCTTAAGAAGTTTTTTTATGGTAAACCTGTTCAAATCAGGGTCCAAACAAAGTACACACATTACATTTGGTTAATATCTCTCTTAAGTCTCTTTTAATCTACAAATTTTGATTCCCTCTCTTTTTCCTTAGACAATTTATTTGTTGAAGAAACCAAGTCATTTAACCTATAGTTTTCCGTATTCCAGATTTTGCTGATTATATTCCCATGGTATTGCTTAACATGTTTCTCTTTCTTCTGAATTTCCTACACAGTGGTAATTAGAGCCGGGGGCTTGATCTGATTCAAGATGTTTATTTCTCCTCCTTTGGTGTTTGTTTCTTTGTTTTGCAAGAAAACATTACAGGTGGTTTTATATACTCTAGTTAGGAATTTTATAATGCCTGGTTCTGTCTCTTTTGTGACATTATTGGCTTTTGACGACCATTGCCTAGATCCATTATTTCACCAGAGATTACCAAAACAGTGAAGATCTAATGTTGTCATTCCCTCTCCTTTTATGAACTGGAAAATTTCTATAGAGAAAAATTTCCTATTGCCAATTATTTGGTTACTCTGATACAACCCATATAGGAAGGGCAAGTTAAATGCTTGGTACTTTTTTTTTTCTTTCTTTCTGAATAGTAAGTTGATAACTTGGAGCTTCCCAAAGTGATCATTATAGTCACTATGAACTCATATTTAAACATACAGCCCTTTTCAGTGGACAGAGCCAGGAATATACTGATATTTTCCATTCAAATTTTGGATTATAACGTTTTTGCGTAGCTGTTTGATTTTGTAATTATTATCTTTTTCTCTTATGCTAAAAATCTTAATTCCTAACAACATTGACATAATTCCCTATTTTCTTTACATATAGCACACATAATGGTTTTTAAACTCCATACATATATAATAAAAACTACATTTATATTATTATAATAGCGATGTAAATATGATATCACGCATGATTATTGAAAACAGTTCAAAATATTTTTTGTTGTTCCTTGTGTTCTTAGGTTGTATCCTAGTAGGCATATATAATCAAATTATTGTTTTAAACTCAGTTGAAATAATTCCTCTTTATATGGCAATGCTACTAAGAACACAATTAGGTTAATTTGTTTCATTTGTTTTTAGTTTTTTGAAATTTTTTTAAATTTAAATTTTATATTTTTATAAAATGTTTACATGTTTCTAAAGCAAATCTACAAAATGAGGTATTTTCAGAACAGTCTGGCTTCTGTTCCCTCCGTCCCATCTCTCTTCCCCACATGTAATTCTTTTAATAAATAAATATATTTGTACTCTCTCTCCTTAGGTAGTGGTTGCATACTATTGTACTTTTTTGGACCTTTCTTTTTAAATTTAACAACATGTTCTGCATATCATTTCAAAGCAATGTACAGAAATATTCCTCATTTCTTTTTACAGCTGAATTGTGCTCCATTGTGTAAATGCACCATAATTTATTTGACATGTCCTCTATTAATAATGAACATTTGGATTGTTTCCAGTTGTTTGCCATTATAGGCACACTGCATTCATTAGATTTGTCTGTAAATATTTTTTTTTATTTAAGTGTATCTTTGGAATATATTTATAAATTTTGGATTACGGGGTCAAAGGGTGAATAAGTAATATACTTCCCTTTTGAATTAGAGAAAACATCATATCACTTTGTTAAGACCTGACTTAAAAAGAGATGGAAATTTGTTTATTTTTCCCATTTGGTCTTCACACTTAATATGCTTTCCCGTTGCGCATAAGTCTATGCATAAAATGACATCACAGTTCAAACATTTGCCAAAATACCAGTGTAGGCTGTTAGTGCCTTGCTTTTGCTTTTTTTTTTTGTATATATATATTCAAGTTGAAAGCAGTAAGTGTTTTGGTTGGAAAGCCTAGGCTATCATCAGATGCAGAAGGAAGTAAAAAGATGAGAGTATATTACTTCCAAAATGAATATTTTCCTGAACTCTTTTGAAATAATTTATTCCCTCAGTTCAGAGGAAAAGATAGAAAAATATTTTCTTTCTATTAACCCCATCATTTTAGGGAATCAAGAATTGATTTTATCAATAAATAATAGCTATTAAAGTAACTATTTAAGTTATCTGAAATTTCTTACAATTTTTATGTCTTAGGATTTTAGGCTTCCTAAATTGCGAGTGCTTCTCTTAGGGACTTGTTGATGCTTCTTCCTTATCACTAGCAGTACAACTTAAAAACAGAATGTTTCAGGTGTTTTTCTTTTTTCGGAAGCTGGCCGGTACAGGGATCCAAACCTTGGTGTTGCAACACTGTGCTCTAACCAACTGAGCTAGCAGGCCAGCCCCTGTTTTCAGGCTTTTTAACTCTTCTATTAAGTAAATTCAATTCAAGAACTAATAAATCTAATTATTACACTGCTCTGTTTTTGTTTTAGAAAGAGTGAGGTAACCCTTGTAATATCGAAGTGTAAGCTATTAACTTGATTAAAAATTCAAATTATCAGAGAAATAATTTTGAGGCTTTTTTGTCTAAATACTGTATGTACAAGGGGCCCTTCTTGAGATATATTTTCCATAAGGTCTTCCTAAAGTGGCAAGAGAGGTTGCACGTGTCATTTGAGGTTTTCCATAAAATATAGTAAGTTATGTTTAATACCATTATTTGCCTACTAATACATTTACAATTAAGTTAGTATTTTAATTTTAATTCTGTTTTTGTTCTTCAAATTATAACCCAATTTAGTTTAAGATTTCAAAGCAGTTTGCTTTTAAATTTCCATTTAAAAATTTTTTTTAATTTTAATTTTAAATTTCTGTTTCTACTAAACTTCAAAATTGTAGTTTAACAAAGGAGAGAGATTGTTCTTGATTAAAAGATGCATGGAAATTACTAGTTCAGTGAGTGAGTCTTGTTTGGATCCTGATAAGCAAATCAACTGAAAAGACCTTTTTAGACCTTTGAGGAAATTTGAATCTTATCTAGTTATTAGATGATACTACAGAATTATTGTTAATTTTGTTACTATGATAATACATTATGACTGTATAAGAAAATGCCCTTTTTTAAAAAAAATAAATGCTTACTTAAGTATTAAAGACTAAAATGATATGATGTCTGGAATTTGCTTTTAAAATACTCTAGCAATAAGTGGAGGGGATGCAGTAAATGAAAGAAGTATGATAAAACATGGATTTATTGTCGGAGCTAGGTGATGGGTCCATGGAGGATGGTTGTGCTCTCTGCTTCTGTATGTACTTAGAAATTTTCGTGATAGACTATTTTAGAAAGTGGCATAAAATTATTCATTTTAAATTACAAAAGTAATACAGGTTCTTTGTAAAATAATTCAGACAGTACAGATGATTATAAAGAAAAAAGTCAGCACCTTGTCCACTCCCAGTCTGACTTGCCAGAAGTGATTGTTTGGTTTATTTTCTTATAGACCCTTTTATATGTATGTACTGCAAATAAACACACACACTTAGCAAAAGTGGGATTATACTATACATACTATTTTGCCATTTTTTTTTCTTTTTTAAGTCTATTATGAGCCTCTTTCCATCAGTACACATCAATCTATCTCCTTTTAAGAAATGCACATAGATGGATGTTTCAGAATTTATTTAACTCTTCATCTCATTAATGGACATTTAGATTATTTTACATTTATTTGCTTTTCAAACAATACTCTAATATCCTTAGACATATCTTTGTATGAATGTTTTTGTAGAATAGACTTCTAGAATAGAAACTACTAGGTCAAATTATACATATGTATAATTTATAATATATAATTTAAAATATGTAAAATGCACATATATATACACACACATTTCAGAGAATTTTATCAACTCCGAAAAATGCCAGTTTTGCCATATTTTCATCAACACTGCACTTTATCAGTGTTTATTTTTGCCAGTTTGAGAGTCAGTTGAAAGATGGGAACTCGTTGAATGTGTAACTTCTGTAAGTATAAAAGTGCCATCCTTAGGAGAAAGCAATCTTGAATTTCGGTTGATTTCTAGCTCTTACAATAATGAGGGTTTAATGTAAATTATCTGGGATTTCATTTCCTATTCTCAATAATGATGCTAATAATCCCTCCCTCCTGGGATTGTTCTGAGTATCAGATAATAAAGGATGTCTGAAATAGGCTTGTTAACTTTATTAACTGTATTAATTTTCTGTTGCTGCTATAACACATTACTGTGCACTTTGTTGCTTAAATTAACACAAGTTTATTCCTACATTTCTGTAGTTAGAAGTCCAACATGGGTCTCACTGAGCTAAAATCAAATTGTCAACAGGGCAGCATTTCTTTCTAGAGGCTATGGGGAGAATCCATTCCCTTGCCTTTTCCACCTTCTGAAGGCTTCCCACATTCCTTGACTCATCATCCACTTCCTCTGTATTCAAGGCCAGCCACATTGCATCTCTCTGACCATTTTACTATAGTTGGATCTCCCTCTGACCAAAGCCAGGAAGGTTTCTTTGATTTTAATGACCTACGTGATTAGATTGGACCCACCCAGATAATCCAGGATAACCTCCCAACCCCAAGGTGCTTAACTTAATCATATCTGGGAAGTCCCATGTTAAAATTCACAGGTTCTGGGAATTAGGGCATAGACATCTTTTGGTTGAGGGGTGCATTATTCTGCTTGGCACCTTAAACTCTAAAGTATTTCTTAGAGAATTATTTATATTTAAATAGTAATAAGAGGGAATTAACCTTAACAAATATTAAATGTTACTATAAAGCTACAACAATTGAAACTGGTGCTAACATATAAATAGATATGCAGAGTCTAGTAATAGACCCAGCTTCATTCAAAAATTAATTTATTGATAAAGGTGACATTTCAAAGTAATGAAGAAAAGGTAGGTTATTTAGTAAATGGCATGGAAAAACTGGAGAGCCATCTGGAAAAAGTTGGAAGTATACATCATATATTACATCAGGATAAAGTCCACTTGGATTAAAGATTTAATTTAAAAAAAAAAAACACCTTAAGGGCCGGCCTGGTGGCGCACTGCTACAGTGCGCCGCTTGGGAAGCGCGGCGGCACTCCCACCAAGGGTTCGGATCCCACATACAGACCGGTTCCCGCTCACTGGCTGAGCGAGGTGCGGGAGCAACACCGAGGGTTGCGATCCCATTGCTGGTCCCGGTCCGGTACGGGTGCGACACTGAGGGTTGCGATCCGTTGCCGCTCACGAAAAAAGACAAAAAGGGAGAAAAAAAAAAAACCTTAAAAAACCATAAAAGTATTAGAAATAAAATGTGAGGTTGTTAAGAAGTCTGAAACTACTTTATGTGTATACTAGGTTTAAGTAAATATAGATAAAAGCCAGATTTCTTACTCTCGGAGAAAGTTACAAATAAGCAAAAGGGGAAGGCTAGAATGAATCTTGTAGTAGACTGGAATTGGCAGTGTTGGTTTTTAAGATATATGCAAGTAAATAGATACAGAAAGATATACAGATATGTCTGTATGCAAGAATTAGCATTCATGCATATATTTCCAAGCTCTGTCTGCTGCAAGGGCTTAAAAGCAATGGCATCCCAGGCACAATGAGCACTAGATCTTATTTTCTGATCCTATTCTCCAGGAACTAGGGCTTCTTGGGGAAGTGGCTGATTGCGGGGCTGGGTGAGAAAAATACAGGATGAATCTGGAGCATCTTAAAATGCCAGAAAGTAAGGAAGTGTTCAAAGAAGGACAGACATGTCAAAAGAGCACACAACTCAACTCAAAAGAGTTTTTAATGGCCAAAGCTGGAACAATTTGAGCAATGAAATAACAATTGCAATAAATTATAACCCATAGAATAAAATAAATATCCATGAGTTCATATTGATTGATATAAGTAATAAGGATATAAACTGGGAAGAAGGGACATCTCTAATAGAGAGAAGGAATTAGAGAAATAGAAAATCACCATAGTAATAATTGCAGACAAAATCTACTGATTGATGCTAAAATTAGTGGGCAAAATTTGAGGATTAACAGAATATTTGCATAATCTTAAAGTAGGTTTCCCAAAATATTTATAATTACAAATGGAAAAATAGTAATTCCATAGTAGAGAAACTCAGCAGACACCACCTTAAACAATTCTTCAAATTTAAAATTATCAGTAATAAGACATTGATATGATGAACATCTCTTTTGTGATGTTCTTGCCAAAAATACATAACCTCAGTCTAATTATGAGAAAATATCAAACCCACCCAAATTAAGGAACAATCTATAAAATACCTGACTGGTATTCCTCAAAAGTGGAAATATGAAAAATAAGGAGAGACTGAGGAACTCTCACATTGGAAGAAACTACAGAGACATAACAAGTGTAGTGTTGAAACTTGGGTTGATGAAATGAAAAAATGACACACAGTAAAATGACATTAGTAATGGGAAAAATGGTAAAATCTGAAAAAAGACCGTAATTTAGCTAATAGCATTATACCAATGTAATTTCTTAGTATTGATAATTGTACTATATGCAAGATGTTAACTTTTGGGGAATTTGGGATAAAAGCATATGAGAACTCTACTATTTTTGCAATTTTTTGTAAGTCTAAAATTCTTTCAAAACAAAAAGTTAAAATAATAAAGAAAGAGGCCTTTAAAGGCATTAGAAATGAATGTGGGAGAATTATAAACCTAGAGTAAGGAAGGCCTTTCTAAGCATGACATATCCAGAAGAGAATATGAATAAAAATCTCTACATGTAAAAAAAATTCCCAAAACAAAGACACATAAAACTGAGAAAATATATGCAAAACATGATAGTAACAGGCTGATTTCTTATTATCAGTGTTTTGGGGTTTTTTTTTTCTTTGAGTGGGGGTGGCTGGCCGGTCCTGGGTTCAGAACACTTGACCTTGGTGTAATTAACACTGCACTCTAACCAACTGAGGTAACCTGGCTAGCCCTGATTTTTTTAATATATGAAATACTCATGTAGATAAGTGTGAAGAGGACTAGCCAATAAAAAAAATGGATATTTTTGACATACAGTTCACAGCAATGGAAATGTTTCTTAAATGTGAAAAGATGCTTACCTCCGTTATAATAAGAGAAACACCAATTAGAACTACATTGAAGTACCATTTCTCACCCAGATTAAGGTTTGAAAAAAATGGTCAATAAAATATGTTGGTAAGAGTGTGAAAAAACAGGCATCCCTTTACACTGATGATGGGAATGTGAACAGACGCTTCTTGTGGAGAACAATTTGACACTGACTGTTGAAATTACAAATGCACATATCCTTTGACTCAGCAGTTCCACTTCTAGGAATTTATTCAAATCTATATTCCCACATGAAGAATAGTGTATATGCAGTGGCATTATGCACAGCATTTTTAAAAAAATATTGGAAACAAATGCCCAAAAGTAGAGGTTATAAAGAAATGAAAATCTATTCATACAAGGCTGTGGAATGTACCTGTCAAATATCATGAGGAAGCTCTACATATACTGATATAAACTATTTCCAAGGGACTATTAATTGTAAAGTACAAGGGCAGAACAGAGTTTATTTTTGTGACTTTTAACAGTGGTTGCTTCTGGGGAGGAGTAAGAATTTTCACCAAATACAACTTTGGAATCGAATCTATCATGTGAATATTGTTTGTTCAAGTAAATTTTAATAATAACTTATTACTTTCTGGTCTTTGTTTCCTTATTTTGCTCACAGAACCCTATCAGCATTGGCTCACTGGTCTGCCATCTTTAGTGACACACCATATCTTCCACTTTTGGCATTTCCATTTGTTAAATTATTCCAGAACAACCAACTCATCTGTTTCGAAGTTGTTGCTACTCTTATAAGTAAGTAAATAATTATTAAAGAATGAAACCAAGGATGGATTCCTATACATTTTCCTGATGTTTTTGCATCAATTAACAGTTCTAGATTTCTCTACTTTTAAGAAAGTGTGAAACAATCAGGCGTAGAGCATGAAATGAACAATTCAAACATTTATATGTAAGCCTTGTATTTACAAAAAATTTTGGATAGTTAAATTTTAGAAGGTTTTGTTATAGACTGAATTTTGTTAGTAAGAAAGAAGCAAATCCTTGACTTACTGAAAGCCAGTTCTTCAGAGGACTGTTGTAAATATTAAAGCACTGACTGAGCACACGTTGCCTGTTGTTTAGTGCCCAGTTGTTGGCTGCTGTCCTCGTCCTCATCATTTGTGGTGAACAATTATTGAGCACTATTCCGTGAACTGATAATATAGTGATGAAATTACTAAAGAGCATTTCCTCCTATATGATTAAATATTACTAAAAACATAATTTATTGTCTGTGTAATATAATATTTTATTTTATGGGTATATCATAATTTATCTGTTCCCCCACTGCAAGAATTTTTTCTAATTTTATTGCACTTTTTAAGCAGTTTTTAAAATTATAATCATATTACTTTTAATTTATTTAATGTTATATACATTTCCCTTATTTTTATAAACTTCGTAAGTATTTTTATTGACTATAATATGCCATATTATGCATGTGCTAATCTACTGTTGAACTTTTGGGTTGTAGTTTTACCTATTAAAAGTAACAATGTTATAACCATCTTTACCTATTAAAAGTAACAGTGTTATAACCATCTTCACATACAAATATTTATAATAATTTCTTCTGGGTAGATTCCCAGAATTGGTATTATTAGGTCATAAAATATGAATAATTGATTCCCCAAAAGGGCTGTCCTAGTTTATCCTGCTAATAGTACTAAGTGTTTCACAAGGAAAAGAAACACAATTCAATAACAAGAAGGCAAACAATCCAATTAAAAATTGAGTGGACTTAGGAATAGACATTTCTTCATGGAAGATAAACAGACAACTAATGAGCGCGTGAAAAGGTGTTCTGGTTTCATTAGTCCTTAGGGAAATGCAAATTAGAGCCACAATGAGATGTCACTTCATACCTATGGGATGGCTGTAGTTTTAAAAAAATGTTGGCGAGGATGCAAAAAAATTGGAACCTTCATACATTGCTGGTGGGAATGTAAAATGATACAGTCACTGTGGAAAACAGTTTGGTGTTTCCTCAAAAAGTTAAACATAGAATTACCATATAACTCAGCAATTTCACTCCTAGATATACCCAGAAGAATTGAAAACAGACTCAGATACTTGTGTGCAAATTCTCATTGCATTGTTATTCCCAGTAGCCAAAAGGTAGTAACAACCCAAGTGTCTGTTAACAGATGAATGGATAACAAAATATGGTATACATACAATGGAATATTATTCAGCTGTCAAAAGGGATGGAGTTCTGATACATGCCACAACATGGATGAACCTTGAAAACATTATGCTTAGTGAAATAAGCTGGACACAAAAGGACAAATATTATATGATTCCACATACATGAACTATCTAAAATAGGCAAATTCATAAACACAGAAAGTTGATTAGAGGTTACCAGGGGCTGGGGTAAGTGGGAAAGGGGAGTTAGTGCTGAATGGATGTAGAGTCTCTATTTGGAGCAAGGGAAGGGTTTTGTAAATAAATTGTGGTGATGGTTGCCTAACATTGTGAATATAAATAATGCCTCAGAATTGTACACTTAAAAATGGTTAAAATGGTAAATTATATATATTTTACCACAATTAAAGAAAAAGATTATATCTAATTTAGGTAGGCATGCAAAACTATTTTTTATTTCCAGTAAAATCTTGTTATATAACTAAAATGTGATTATATGCTACAGAAATTGATCTTTTTCTTCTAAGCAAACAGATCTGAAATCTAAATCTAGGATATTATTGTTCCTTCCATGGTGGTCAGCATGAGCAGCTTTGGGATTTTATCAAGGGTCTCAAATGAGTTTTATTCAAGAAACATTTACTGAGCTTCAACTAAATGGTAGTAGCACTGTTCGCGATAGGCCATTGTTCTAGTGTTCAGGTTTACAGTCAAGTTGGGACCTAGAAGGTATTTTAAAGGAAAATAGTCACTTCTAGGTATAACATGGGATATATTTATAAAAGTAATTTTTAAACACTATTTAAATAGAGTCTCTTTTATGGCCAGGTAGAAATTCTTTGGGTTTGGTAAAAAATCTCCTCACTATTATTATTTCTCTTTATTCTGCTATCAGTCGGTTTTGTCCCTAGGTCCTCTCCCCATACTTTTGTGGTGGTGGTACCAAAGCAGAAAAAAAATACTTAAGAGAAGTCAAATGGTTACTGTATGCATCACGGTTTACCTCTTGCTATTGGAAAACAGTGTTTTATTGATGAAGATTAAATAAAATGGGCTGGCCAGTTAGCTCAGTTAGAGTTACCTAATTTGGTTAGAGTGCAGTGTTACAACACCAAGGTCAAGGATTCAGATCCCTGTACTGACCAGCCACAAAAAAAAAAAAAAAAAAAAAAAAAAAAAAAAGATTAAATAAGGATCAGGTGTTTGTCAATGTTTGTGGTGTTTTAAATGCCCGGAACTAGCAGTGTCTTAGACATAATAGGTACTTAGTAAATGTTGCTGCTCTAGATTTTTCATTTTAAAATTAACTTTAGAGCAGCAATTTAAAGAATTTGAAATTTTTCTTTTTAAAGCTTAGTCTTTGCAAGATTTTATTATGACTTAATTGTTAACTCAAATTTGAATGCTCAATAATAAGTGAAATAATGGAATTCCAGAATCGGAAAGTCCTCATAAACCGTATATAATCCAATATTCTGCTGATAAAGCCTTCTTTTGCTAATTTTAGATAGGCAGTCTTATAATCAAAGGCTGAAACCATAACTCAATATTTAAAATATAAAAGCAGAATTTAATAATTAAATAAAGGAGAGGTTAGACATAGGCTTGTTGAGAAAACAAACTGATGATTGTATATAGGATTTTCGAGAAGAATTTTGGGGAGGTTGTACTGTTACAGTGAGCAAGTGAGTTAAAGTTAGCCTTAGAAGCCTATTCAGTGGAATAGACTCTACTTTGGACTAGTTGACTTTCAAAGAATGCTTCAGCTGTTAATGATTAATTTGTTTTTAAAGTCAAATTTACTCTAACAAATCGTCACTGATCAATTACATTTAAAACCAGTTCTGGTGGTTATTTATTACTGTGGTTATAAAATAACCGGTCTTTTCCTAAGAAAGAGGACTTTTTAATTCTCTTAGTAACATCTAATGGATAGGGATAAAGTATATACACATTTGTTTTTATATATTGTTATCAATAAGAATGTAATTCTTATATATGTTTTCTCTTATTTATTCATGGGCATGTTGAGGACATAAAGAGTGGATACATTTAAGAATTGCAGTGTCCTTTGATGATATAGGAAGATATTTAAAGATTTTTTTTCTCTCTTCATAGTCAATTGGTGTCAACACTGGTTTGAATATTTTCCTAATCCTCCTATCAATATTCTCAGTATGATAGAAAATATTTTGGCATTTCATGACAAAGAACTGCTACAACACTTCATAGATCATGATATAACTTCTCAGGTAAGAAGTGTAAGGTTTTTAGACTAACATAACTTATTCTGGAAGCTAACATTGGTTCTGGTATAAATAAAACAGTATTTTCTTGAAGGAGTATAATAAAAAGCATACTACATTTTGTATTTTTAATGGTATTCCACTGTTTTTCATCACTTAAACTGCCTTCCTGAAAGTATATTTTTAAAAAGGTCCAAATTAAGGTAGTTCTTTTCATAATTACGTATTTAATATAATGATTTTCATAGCTTACATCAAATGTAAGAGAATACTATCAATGACTATTTTGACCTTTCTCTAGAAAACTAATAAATTTTTCCTTATTTATTTTAGCTGTATGCATGGCCTCTTCTTGAAACTGTGTTCTCAGAAGTGCTGACAAGAGAAGAGTGGCTAAAATTATTTGATAATGTCTTTTCCAACCATCCTTCATTCCTCCTGATGACTGTTGTAGCCTATAATGTATGTTCTCGAGCTCCTTTGCTCAATTGTAAGCTTAAAGATGATTTTGAGGTAAATATCCTTGTTCTTAAGAAGAGGTTCTAAAATTTTAATTATGTTGATTGAAAAATCCATTTATTTATTGAGTACCTATTGTATGTCAGGCACTGGTGCTAGGTGGTAGGAATATAATGGATAGCAAGTTGGACCACATCCTTGCCGTTATATAGTTTATAAACAGTTAAACAGGCAATTACAGCAGTTAGTCTTACAATCTTAGCTTCAAAAAGGAATCATGATGATATTGGGGTTTTGTGCTTTTTGCCTTTATAAAGGTTGTTTAACAGTTGGGGCAAGTTGGACCACATCCTTGCCGTTATATAGTTTATAAACAGTTAAACAGGCAATTACAGCAGTTAGTCTTACAATCTTAGCTTCAAAAAAGAATCATGATGATATTGGGGTTTTGTGCTTTTTGCCTTTATAAAGGTTGTTTAACAGTTGGGTAGTTGTTTATTTTGTGCATGATCTTATCAATGACCTGTCTGGTCTGTGATAGTCTGGATGCTTATTACACATGTAAAATGGTAACTATGAGAGTTGTGAGGCTTAGCAGAAAGTGACTGAAAGAAAGCATTAGTGGTGTTTTTAGAAGGAAAGGCTCTTTCGGTAGACAGGATGAATTAGTTGGGTTTTTTCTGTGTGTGTGGCTTATTTTGCGGTTACTGTCAAACTTTATTTTTAACTTCATGATCACATGATACATATATATATATATATTCTATTTTAGAATTTGGATCTGCCAGCAGAATACCATAATGTAGAGATATTTCAGATATTTTTAAAGATTCAAGCTAATTTATTTTCTAAGCTACTTTATTTTGGATTTTGAAAAAATAAAATCCAAGCAGAAATATGTTTTATTATTAAAGCATTCTTTTCCTGTTGCAATGGAAGCCTTCATTTTGAGTTAAAATATAAATAGTTTTATTTCAAATTTTCATACTATGATTGTGAAATTTTATTGCATTTTGAAAAAATTGAATTTTCATTTTAAAACCTGAGTTAAAAAAAGCTTCGGTGATTTAGCAAAAAAAAAAAATTCTTAAAGGTAAATTCACATTTACACTTTTAAACTTTTGTTTTAATTCTGCCTCACAGTTGCTTGGTTAGGTAAATCTGGATGATTTAGAAAATCACCATGTTTTCTTACAGTATTTTTTTCACCATCGGAATAACCTGGATATAAATGTTGTGGTTAGAGAAGTTTATCATCTCATGGAGACCACGCCTACTGATATTCATCCAGACAGCATGCTTGATGCTTTTGTTGCACTGACAAAAGGGCAATATCCAGTATTTAATCAATATCCAAAGTTTATTGTGGACTATCAGACACAGGAACGAGAAAGAATAAGGAATGATGAATTGGATTACTTAAGAGAGAGGTAATTGTGGAATACTTGTTCTTTGTCTGATCGAAATGAAATCTGTTATAAACATAAACAAGAAAGTTTTAATGAAAAATACATTTAAGTTATTAAGTATTTGTGTAAACTCAGTTTGAAGGCTGGAAACCTCTTTAAAGATATTTAATTCTTACATATGGGAAGTAAAATCAGTTACACATAATCAGGTATACATTTTGTGTTTTGGCTGTTCTTGGACTTAAATTACTTAGCTCTCTTGTTTGCATTTTCATCATAATAAACATTATTGCTAAAGGCAGACGGTTGAAGATATGCAAGCTGAAGTAGACCAGCAAAGAGCTGAAGATGAAGCTTGGCACCAGAAACAAGAACTACTTCGTAAAGCTGAAGAAGCAAGAAGAGAAATACTCTTACAAGAGGAAGAGAAAATGATACAACAACGACAGAGGTATGTTTTATCACTTTTTAAAAATTCTGGACAGGGACTGGCTGGTTGCTGAGTTGGTTAGAGCTCAGTGTTGATAACACCAAGGTTGAGGGCTCAGATCTCTTTACTGGCCAACCACCAAAAAAATAAAAGAAATTTAGACATATGAGTTAGTTGAATAATTTTTATTTTCTTTTATTTTTTCATTATAGGAACAATACTATATAGAGAATTACCCAGCTGTAGTATTTCCATTAAGCACATATTTAAGTTAATAAAAAGAATCTTTATATACCACTTCTCAAAAAATTGGTATATAGTAAAATATAATTCTAAAGCTATACAAACTGTGATATAATTGTGTACTGATTATTCAGAAGTGATACCAGATCTAATGTGTCTTGAAGGATGTTGTTTAGAAACATTATTTTATACTGGGCAGAAATACTTTGTAATAGAGTGCTAGGTAAATCACCTTTGGAGTAAAATTTTTTAAATTATGTTTTAAACATATCGGTGTGACCTGACAACTGAAATATAAAATGATTACCTCATTATGCATTTAATACTTTGGAGGACAGGGGAAGAAGTATTAAGTGCTTATTCAAAAGTATGTTAATAAGGTAAAGTGTTTAAATTAACTAAAATTATAAGATAAACATTGAGACTAAGCCTAATTGTTGGGAAACTCACTTCTGTTAAGTGTTCATTGATTCTTATTCTTGGGTGGAACTTTATGAAACATATTTCTAGGGTGGGTTAAAAGGAATTACTGAACTGAGCCATTAGCTTTCTACTGAAATTCTAAAAGAATAAGCATACATCATCTTTGGTAACATTGTGTTTTAGTCCATTTTGTGTTGCTATAACAGAAATACCTGAGACTGGGTAATTTATAAGGAAAAGAGGTTTATTTGGCTTAAGATTCTGGGACAGCTGCATCTGGCGTGGGCCTCAGACTGCTTCTATGCATGGCGGAAAGTGGCAGGCAGCCAGTGGGTACAAGCAGATCACAGGGCAAGAGGAAGCAAGAGAGAGAGAGAGAAGGTGCCAAGGTCTTTTTAAGCAACGAGCTCTCGCGGGAATTAATTGAGCCAAACTCACTCATTAATCCCCCTTCCCCAGGGAGAGCATTAATCCATTCATGAGGGATCCGCCCCCATGACGCAATCAGTTTCCAACACTGCCACATGGGGGATCAAATTTCCACATGGGTTTTGGGGCCGGCCCGGTGGCGCACTGCTACAGTGCGCCGCTTGGGAGTGTGGTGGCGTTCCCGCCGAGGGTTCGGATCCCACATACAGACCGGTTCCCGCTCACTGGCTGAGCAAGGTGTGGGAGCAACACCGAGGGTTGCGATCGAGGGTTCACCGGTTCCCACTCACTGGCTGAGCAAGGTGTGGGAGCAACACCGAGGGTTGCGATCGAGGGTTCACCGGTTCCCACTCACTGGCTGAGCAAGGTGTGGGAGCAACACCGAGGGTTGCGATCGAGGGTTCACCGGTTCCCACTCACTGGCTGAGCAAGGTGTGGGAGCAACACCGAGGGTTGCGATCGAGGGTTCACCGGTTCCCACTCACTGGCTGAGCAAGGTGTGGGAGCAACACCGAGGGTTGCGATCGAGGGTTCACCGGTTCCCACTCACTGGCTGAGCAAGGTGTGGGAGCAACACCGAGGGTTGCGATCGAGGGTTCACCGGTTCCCACTCACTGGCTGAGCAAGGTGTGGGAGCAACACCGAGGGTTGCGATCGAGGGTTCACCGGTTCCCACTCACTGGCTGAGCAAGGTGTGGGAGCAACACCGAGGGTTGCGATCGAGGGTTCACCGGTTCCCACTCACTGGCTGAGCAAGGTGTGGGAGCAACACCGAGGGTTGCGATCGAGGGTTCACCGGTTCCCACTCACTGGCTGAGCAAGGTGTGGGAGCAACACCGAGGGTTGCGATCCCGTTGCCGGTCCCGGTCCGGTACGGGCGCGACACTGAGGGTTGTGATCCGCTGCCGGTTACGAAAAAAGACAAAAAGGAAAAAAAAAAGAAAAAAAAAATTTTTTAATTCTTAGATAATCTTTTTTTTTTTTTTTTTTTTTACTTATGTATTTTGTGTCATATTTGAGAAGACCTGCTCATTCTAAGGTTGTGTTACCACATATGCATATTTTCTTCTAGTTGTCAAACTACTGTGCACAAACCAAGTCTGGCCTACCACCTATTTTGGACAGCTTGTGAGCTAGAATAGTTTTAATGTTTTAAATGTTTTTTTTAAATGACAGTAATATTTCATGACATGAAAATTATATTAAATTTTTATTTATTTATTTTTTAAATTTTACTTCTCAAAATATGTTGTAGTTGATTTTCATGCCCCTTTACCCGTTCCTCTCCACCCCGTCCCCTTCCCTCTGACATTGTATCTGTTCACTAGACTTAAATAGTTCAAGGAATTTTTGTGGTTATTCTGTCTTCTTCCTCCCCCACCTTTTATTTGTTCGTGTGTTTATTTATTTATTTTTAGCTTCCACAAATAAGTGAGAACATGTGGTATTTCTCTTTCTGTGCCTGACTTGTTTCACTTAATATAATTTTCTCTAAGTACATCCATGTTGTTGTGGAGGGTAGTATTGCATTCTTTTTTATAGCAGAGTAGTAGTCCATTGTGTAGATGTACCACAGTTTCCTTATCCAGTCATCAGATGATGGACATTTGGACTGGTTCCAGCTCTTGGCTATTGTAAATAGAGCTGCAGTAAACATGGGAGTACAGGTATGCCTTCAGCATAATGATTTCCATTCCTCTGGATATATTCCCAGCGGTAGAATTGCTGGGTCTTGTGTAATTGTTTGAGGAACCTCCATATCATTTTCCATAAAGGCTGCACCATTTTGCAGCCCCACCAACAGTGAATGAGTTCCTTTTTCTCCACAACCTCTCCAGCAATTATTCTCAGTCTTTTGGATGTTAGCAATCCTAACTGGAGTGAGATGGTATCTCAAAGTGGTCTTGATTTGCATTTCCCGATTCTGAGTGAGGTTGAGCATTTTTATGTGTCTGTTGGCCATTTGTATATCTTCCTTTGAGAAATGCCTATTCAGCTCCTTTGCCCATTTTTTAATTGGGTTATTTGTTTTCTTGCTGTAAAGTTGTTTGAGTTCCTTGTATATTGTAGATATTAATCCTTTGTCAGATGTATATTTTGCAAATATTTTCTCCTACTCCATTGGTTGTTTTTTTACTCTGTTGATTGTTTCTTTTGCTGTGCAGAAGCTTTTTAGTTTGATATAATCCCATTTGTTTATTTTACCTTTAGCTGCCTGTGCTTTTTGGGTCCTATTCATGAATTCTGTACCCACTCCTACTTCTTGGACTGTTTACCACCTGTTTTGTACAGCTTGTGAGCTAGAATAGTTTTAACATTTTAAATGGTTTTTTTAAATGACAGTAATATTTCATGACATGAAAATTATATTAAACTTAAAAATACATATATATGAAATTCAAATGTCACTGTTCATAAATAAAGTTTTATTGGAACAGGCACACCCATTTCATTACATAATGTCTACACTTGCTTTTGCACTCCAATGGCAGAAGTGAGTAGTTGTGACAGAAACCATATGACAAACAAAGCCTAAAATACTTACTATCTGGCCCTTTACAGAAAAGGTGTGCCAACCCTTGATGTGTTTGAAAATTGTATGTAAGTAGTGACTTAGGGACCAACCCTACTTCTTTCCAAAAGGCATGTCCGTTGTCCCAGCACCATTTGTTGAATATTAGCAAAGTCATTTGCCAACTAATGGTTATTAACATATAAAATTCTCTCCTATACTTCATCTCCTCCTTTGCTCTGTCTATTCCTAAGCCATTACCACATTGTTTGAATGACAGTAACTTTGTAATGTTTTAATAACTAGACCTAATTCCCACTCATTAGTCTTCCTTTTCAGTTTTCCTCAGTATTCTCAAGTGTTTAGCATTCCAGATGAACTTTGAGAATTTTATCGCTCTCTCTGAATCTCCACCTCTCTCCATCCTATTGGAATTTTACTTAGGATTGCACTGAATTTATGTTCTAATTTAAGGAACTTCAAACCTAGTTTTGTAAAATACCAAATTTTTTTTAAGTCTTTTAAAGGGTTTTTTGGGGGGGTTTTTTGGGGGTTTTTTGGCAGCTGGCAGGTATAGGGATATGAACCCTTCACTCTAACCAACTGAGCCAACTGGCCAGCCCCTAAAGTATTTTAATTCATCTGTATTAGAAACACATTATCTCCTTTTATAGCATAATACATCTTATTTTGTTTAAAGCTATTTAATTTAAAATTGGTTTTTAAAATCTGTGATTCCTTTTAATTATCTAGTGAATGAGATTGATATTTCACCATTCTAGAAAAGTGTATATTCTTCCCCAAAAGTAATACAGGCTCAGAACACTGATGTTCTATTCCAAACGCCTTTGACATAGGTGAAGGCATTTTTTGGTCAAAGAATCCTATAAAGTCCTTTCAGCGGCATGATCTGGCCTCTGCCTACCCTTCCAGCCTCCTATCCTTCTGCTACCCATACTGATGTTGTACTCTGACCCTACCAAACTGCAAAAGCTCTTGTCACACAGTTCAGGCTCCCGCAGGAAAGACTGCTTGAGTCCAAAGTGACACGTACATGTGACTGCAGACATCTGCTAGCAGCCAGCAAAATTGATTTGTTTTTGCTCTGGCTCATAGCTATTTGTATCTTTGAAAATTCATAAGCAAAAGAGCTTCTGTAATTGAAATTCCTTAATAAGCATTGCAGTGTTTCCTATGCCAAACCTTTCCTCTACCTCTTGGCATTATTACTACTCTTGCTTCATAAAATCCAGCATCTCCCCCTTTAAGCTAGCTGCTTTCCCAATAACCTCCTTAAGTTACACTGGTCCCTGGGTTTTTTTACTACTTGGATGTACATCTTTGCATATCCCTATATATTCTCATTTTTACTGTTTCTCCTATTATAAGTATTTGATAGCATATCTTTTAATTGACAATATCTAACACTTTATGAGTGCAGGTAGTAATACAATCATTAAATGTATGCTGAGTAAGTGAATGGGGATAGATGGCTGGATCAGTTATAGTTTCTGCTGTTTTGTTTTGTTTCAAACACATATCATGTAGTTTATTCTCATTCCTAAAAATAATTGGGGCTTTAAGAAGCCAAATATTTAAGATGATTTATAAGATTCTGTAGTCTAGAGAGTGCCTCATCTAAATCCTCTAGTATATAGGAGTGAAACGCTTCTTCCTAGTAATCAAATTTTGGAGAAAGGTGAACTCTAAATTAACTAAGTCCAGTCAGAGCACATGCAGGTTGAGCAGTCCATGAGAAACTTAAACCTGGAGTTATTGTCAAACCAAATTTATAAAAGTGTAGATGTGTAATCAAAAAGACCATTTAATAAATGTTATATTTAAGAAGATTAAACCTGTATTTTTATGTGCCCCACCTTTAAATTGATCAAGTTTTTGTAAGTCATAATATCAGTTAGTGTAATATGGTAAGAATTGCCATCTGTTCTCCCAGTCTGGGTAGATGAGCATATGGTAATTGTGCTTTCTTTTTTAAAAAATTAAGCTTAACTTTAACTCAGATTATTCCTAGTTTCCACAGTGAATATTAATTAGTACATTGTCAGTTAATCTGGCTTCAAAACCCAATTCCTATTATTTTAAATACTGTTAGTGGGATATTCAGGTTACAAGGTTACTAAATCTATTAAAAATTATTTTGTAAATTCATTTTGGTATTCACAATTTGTTGTTTGACCATAGGTACATATGAGAGATCAGGAAATTGCTGCCACAGCCAGAGACCTAGAGATGAGACAGCTGGAACTCGAATCACAAAAAAGACTTTATGAGAAGGTATGAATCAATTATTCTAATAAAAGAAACGCAGGTGGTGTACAAACCCTTTTTAGACTGTATTTACTCATGGTTTTTTAATGTTCATTTTGTTTGCTTTTTAAGCAGAATATAGTGTCATCCAGGATTGTAAGGTAGCCAGAATGTCTGAATGTACAGTTTGTTGTAATTCTTTAATTCATGTTTCTGTTAGCAGCTTAGTCTGTTGTCTGCAGCACCAGATGTAAGGCCCAGATTTTGCCACAGGATCTTTTACTGACTTACCGAGTTTTCCTATATTTGTATAATAGTGACTGCAAAATTATCTCAGTACCTCACAAGGATCTTGTAAGGTAACTCAAGCGAGAGCTGTAAAGTACTTTAAATTTGAATCTTCTGGAATCAAATTAGCAAATATAACACTTTTTAAGTTTCCACACTGAATTTCTTCTAGCACTGAGCAAGGGATTTACAGTTTGGCTAAGTCTCCTATGATTCTGAATTAAATGTAATTCATTTGGACTAAACTAAAGTTTACTTTTTACTGTCTTTTCTTTGGGGGTGGAGAGTGGTGGCGATCAGGGGCCATAATTTCAGAATTAACAGAAAATGTGCAAGAAAAATATTAAGAATTCCCAGATATTTTTCTCTAAGATTCTGAAATATTAACATTTTGCTAAATTTACTTTATCTTTCTCCTTCTCTCCATGTAAACATATACACACCACACGCCATTTTTCTTGAACTGTTTAAAAGTTACAGACATGATACTCCATTATTCCTAAATACTTCAGTGTATATTTCCTAAAACCAAGGAATCCTCTTACATAACCACAGTATAAATATCAAAATCAGAAAATTAACATAATATTACCTGATATATAAACTTTATTCAGATTTAATCATTTGTCCCGAAAATGGCCTTTAGAGCAAAAGAAAATCTAAGATTGTCTGTTTTTTTTGTTTTCATGTCTCTTCAGTGTCCTTTAAATTGGAACCCTTCCTGAGTCTATCTTTGTATTTCATAACATTGATATTTTTTGAAGCATATAGGCTAAATGTTTTGTAGAATGTCCCTCAATTAGCATTTGTCTGTTGTTTCTTCATGATAAAATTCAAGTTTCGCACTTTTGTCAGGAATGCCACAAAAGTGATGCTGAGTTTCTTTCCATGTATCAGATCAGGAGGCAAATGTTTATTAGTCCCTTTTTGCTATTTTTTGAAGGAAATGTTTATTTAAGCAAACTTATATGGTTAGAGAAGCGTTAAACTACTCAACAAAACCAAATTATGATATCCTCAACTTTATGTGGTCAGTTAGATACAAATATGTTGCTACTATGTTTTTCTTTTTTCTTTTTTTCTTTTTTCTTCTGGAGGCTTGCCTGTATGAGGATCTGAACCCTTGACCTTGGTGTTATCAACACCATGCTCTAATCAACTGAATTAACTGGCCAGCCCTATGATGTTTTTCAAATCGGTTTTAGTGATTAACACTTTATGTGCCAAAGTTATATCTTACATTAGGTTGATTAAATGTGTTTATTTCTAAAGAAATTATGTCCCAGCAAACAGGCAATATTGTGATTACCTATATTAAAAATATGAGCTCAACATTTCATGTATATTTAATTTAAATAAAATTATTTTTTTTACAAAAAGAAACTAAGCACAAACAAAAGAATAAACAAGTAAATATTTACCTGTAATCCATATTGTTTCATCAAGTCTGTTTTCTGTTTGTATCTTTTTCATACATATGCCACTTCTCCTTCACATAATACCAGTCTTGCAAAAATTGCTACAAGGATTAAATGAGCTAATGTGTATATGTAGTATCAGAGATTCCCAAGATCACTGATTTACTAGAACTCACAGAACATAAGAAAAACTCTAATATTCATGGTTACATTTTATTACAGTAGAAGGATATAAAATAAAATCAGCAAAGGTAAAAGATGCATAGGTTGCAGTCGAGTAGAGACCAAAGAGAAGTTTTCAGTTGTCCTCTCCCAGTGCAAGCATACCAACAGCACTTAATTCCTGCAAAGATGTGTGACAACATGTACAGAGTATTGCCTACTAGACAAGCGCACTCAAGCCTTCTCCAGGGCTTTAGGAATCACGTAGGCATGGAGTGCACATGTGGCTGACATTAGTTACTTTCTCTCCAGTCCCTCCAGAGGTCAAACTGATATAGCGTGACCTCTGGCTCCCATCAGGTCACACTGTTAGCATAAACCACCCGGCATGGCAAAGTCCACAGGTATACAAAGACACTTTTATCAGGTAAGGGCTTAGAGATTATCTCTTAGAAGCTGGTCAAGGGCTGGTCTTTTCTTTGGCATGTGAAGGGTTTGAGTAATTCAGACCTACTGAGTTAGCCCTTTACTGCACAATGTTTGTTAGTTGGTACATGTTGGATTGATATTACTTTCCTTCCTTCCCCCTTGGCCTAAAAAAATTATTATTTTAAAAAACCAGGCTGACTCATTAACTCAGTTGGTTAGCACAGCCTTATAACATCAAGGTCACAGGTTTGGATCACCTTACTGGTCAGCTGCCAAAAACAAAACAAACAAAAAACAACAACAATAAAAAACTAATTGACAACTTTCTTCACCCAGTTTATGGTCACCCTATCTTCATTCCTCCTCACTGTTTTTAGATTTCCATGGTTTCCTAGATTTCCACTCTTTATGATGGCTGTTTGCTCTCCTTCTTCCCCCAAACCACTGTATCCATTAGTATTCACTCCCCGTTCCCACGCCCTGGCAACCACTAATCTACTTTCAGTCTCTATAGATTTTCCTATTCTGGGCATTTCATATAAATGGAATCATACAATGTGTGGCCTTTTTTGATTGGCTTCTTTTACTTAGCGTAATGTTTTTAAGGTTCACCCAGGTTATAACATGAATCAGTACTTCATTCCTTTTTTATGGCTGAATAATATTCTATTATATGAATAGACCAAATTTTGTTTAACCATCAGTTGGTGGACATTTCAGTTGTTTCCACTTATTTTGCTATGATAAATTATGCTGCTATGAACATTTGTGTACAACTTTTTTGTGAATGTATGTTTTTAATTCTCTTAGATAGATACCTACAAGTAGAGATTCCTAATTTCTCTATGTGCTCATGAACACTTATTATTGTCTGTCCTTTTGATTATAGAAATACTAATGGGTAGTGGTATCTTACTGTGGTTTTGATTTGCATTTTCCTCATGACTAATGTTAAGCATCTTTCATGTCTATTGGCCATTTTTGTATTTTCTTTGAAAATAATGTGATTAATGTCTATTCAAATTATGTATGGGTCATATTTTCTTTTTTTTTTTAACAGTCATGTAATATTTGTTGAAAACTAGACATTTAAAATAATATAATATGGCAGTTCTGGAAATCAGATTGTGCCCCCTCCCCAGACTTGCTGCTTCTTGTTTCTTTGGTTAATACCTTTTCTGAGCTAATTCAGTAAAGTCTCTAATCTTTGTCGTGTGTAGCCTCTGGTCTCTACTCAGTTAGCTTAGTGGTCAGCTAACGATTGGACAGAGATTTCCTTATTAGATACTTTGAACCAGTAAGTTTCTAGTCTTTGCTGCAGGCTCTGTGTGCATGTGGGGCGTGCCTTCAACACTCAGATAGACAGTTTAGACTTCACTTCCTGGTTGGGTTTCAGGGGACGAGGGAGGGAGGTTGGGATGAATAGGTGGAGCACAGAGGATTTTTAAGGCAGCCAAACTATTCTGTATGATACTGTATGGTGAATACACAACATTATACATTAGACAAACCCTGGAGAACGATACAATGTAAAGAGGGAACCCCAGTGTAAACTTAATAATAATATGTCAATATTGATTCGTAAGTGTAACAAATATACCACAGTAATGTAACATGTCGTTAAGAGGAGATGCTGCATACATGGGTGGGGGAGGGTCAGGAACTATCTGTACTGTCTGCCCGATTTTTCTGTAAAACTAAAACTGCTATAAAAATAATAAAAACTAAAAAAATAAAAAAGATTTCAGTTCCTGGTTGTGCAAAACCTCAGCCAGAGGTGAGAGCTTAGGACCTTCTCAGGTCTGAATATACAGACCGTGGCATGTGGACAAGCCTTCTAGAGTCCCAGGAATCTACCAAAAGTTTTCAGAGCCTCCTGTGGACATCTAATTTCCCAGCTTTTCCTGTTAAGCTTTTTGTTTAGCCTGTTATTTGCTCTATGATCCACTGTTCAGGTAGCCAAGATACTCAACTATTTCCTCTAACTGTTTTCAACAAACCTCCCCAGAGAAAAGGCTGTCAGCACTAGGTGAATTTTGAGTGAGCTCAAATGAAGACAACCTTGGGAGTGGGTCTTCCAGGGAAACACCAGGCAAGTCAGATGATGACAGCTCTCTGGGAATGGTGGTTTTAAGGAGCTCCAACCCCATTTTGCCCCCTCCATTGGCTGCCAGCTGCTGGTTTTTCAAGGCTCATACAGAGCTTGGAAGTAGGCTGGAAACAGGAATAATGCAATTTAAAATGTCCTTGAGCTTGCCATTCTAACTGAGATTCAGCCACTTTTATGAATAAATGCTCCCCAGATTGCTACAAGCCTTTGGTTAGTTTTCAGAATTCTGAAAAAGTTGATTTTGACAGTTTTTCCAGTGTGTTCTCAGTGCTTTAATGGGTGAGAGAATTTTCAGAGATCCTTACTCTGTCATTTTTGCTGATGTCACCACTGTTTGCTTTTTACTTTGAAAATTAGATGTTTACAGATTTCATTTATGCAAATTAGTATTCTGAAAAAAGTCATTTTGGTGTTCTAGCACTGTTATAGTTACAGTGATTCTTTTTTACAAATGATTCTTTTTAACAGAATCTTACTAGAAATCAAGAAGCTGTTGCAAAAGAAGTGCGAGAAGATGTAGATGCCTATAGACGAAAAATGGATCTTGAAGAACACATGTTTCATAAACTGATAGAAACAGATCAAAATCAAAGCCAAAAAACTCAGAAGGTAAAAATATGGTAAATTTAGTATATACATAGAGGGAGATTTCCATCTGTCATCCTTTTAAGAGAATGAATTTGAAATTAAACTCTGGTAAGTTAGTTCATTTCTTTGCTTCAGTTGACACAGTTCCTAGAATCTTACACTGCTGTATTTTATTTACAGGGTGCTTACTTCATTGATAGTCATATACATGTATCTTTCATACCCTTTGAGAATTGTAGGACATATAAAAAAATATGAAGGAAATAGTAACTTTACAAAGTATATTATCCTACTGTGTTCTATTTCACAAATTGTCCCTGAGTGGATTAGATTGCAAAACATCAGGTTCCTGCCTGGTATGTAAGCCAGCACTTCCAAAACATTCTGTAGAATATTAATAACTATTATTCAGTGAAATGGGCAGTGGTCAATTAAGTATTGGAAGTGCTGTCTTAAAGCTAGGTTGTTTTCATGCAAAATTTGAGGATATTATACATTGTGAATCTTTAAGGAAATTTCCCAAACTTATTTTATAGAATTGCTTATGGAATACCCTTTTGAAATTGCTGACTTTATTGAATTGAAATAAAACTTGACATTTAAAAAAGAACTCTCTCTATTATCCCTTTAACAAAATGTACATGAGTATGTGTCCAGGCCTGGCCTTACTCCAAAAACTGGGAATAGTGAAAGATAGTGTCCTGTTCTACAACAGTCCTTACACTCCATTTCCCCAAAATATCCCATGGGTTTTTTTTCTTATAGGCTTTTGTCCAGTCTGTAAAAATGGGCTCTTCTGACTCCTTTTCAAAGGTTGAAAACATGGAAATTGTTGAGTCTGACCCATCTACTAGCTTAGAAGTTCTCAGCCTTGGCTGTACATTAGAATCAGTTGAAGAGCTTTTTAACAGTACCACTCTCCTGCTGCCCCAGAGATTGACTTAATTGATTTGTGGTGGGGCATGGATGGCAGTTTTTCTTGAACACCCCCATATGATTCTAATATGCAGCCCGAATTACTAACAACTGCCCTAGACACTTGAATGCATTGAATAGATATATCCTAATTTTATATAGTCTGACCTTGTTTCTGGAATTTACAACTTAGGTGATTGAAGAAAATTTGGCAAAAGCTGAACAAGCATGCCTGAATGCTGACTGGCAAATTCATACTTTACATAAACAAAAATGTGATGATCTACAACGAAATGAATGTTACCAGGAAGTAGCCAAACTCCTTCAGGAAAATAGAAGGAAAGAAATAGAGGTGTTAAATGCAATGATGGCGGAGGAAGCTAAGAAGGTAAGAAATAGTACATAGTCAAATGACAAAAGCATCAAACCAGATAATTTGTGCTGGAAAAGATCATTTAATTTTAATAGGTGTTTGTCAGAGACGTTGTCTTATGTTGATACTACCTAAAAATGATTAAACATCTTTTTCATTTACATTAGCGTTTTTCAACTTCTCAGCTTCCTGAATTTGTTCTGACTGGTTGGATAATACTACTACTTTAATTTCCCTAATTCTTAATACTTAAAATGTAAAAGATTTTGAATAGGTAGAAATTATATGTAGCTGCTATTAGCAAAATCTCAAATAACAGTGACTATAAACAGGATAGAAATGTTTTTCTTTTTCAAAAGAAGTCTGGAAGTAGGCACTCTCGGGTTAGTATCATGGCTTCAAGGTTATCAGGGAAATGGCCTCTTTTGACCTTTTTGCACTATTTCTTGGTATATGGTTTTCATTCTCAAGGATACCTTATCATCCAAGATGACTGCTAGAGTTCCAGCCATCCCATATATACCAGACAGCAGAAAAAAAAATAGAGCAGAAGTGCAAAATGTCCTACCTCCCAGCTGAACCAACTCCTTTTTAACATCTTTCCAGGAGTCCCATGTCATATTTCTAGCCACACATGGCTGCAGAGGATGCTGGGAAAAATTGGTGTTTTTAGCAGGGAGAATTATCATCCCAAATAACATCAAGATTCTATTCCTAAAGAAGAATCAGAGAATGGATTTTGAGGGGACAACTTAGAGTATATGTCACACATTTGTATCTTTTGGTTGATCCTCCCAACAACTCTGGCACCTATACTCTGTGGATATTATAACAGATACCATCGACTTTCCTGAGGACACTGAAGAGCTGGAGGGAGATCAGCATCTAGATAACTGGCTTTAGTTCTTTCCTCGTTCTGCTGCTGTATCATGTGTATTCTGAAAGCTGTTCTCACAAGATACTTCCTTCAAGTCACTATTCCAGGTTCATTTTCCTCCTACCCCATCCCAGTGGCATGAGGCCCTATCTTATAACCCTTTCATTCAAGGACAGGAAAGAAGGGCTTAGGGAAGGATGGGGGTGATGCCCAGAACACTGAAACTATTTTCCTAGGAAAATTTTGATTGATGCCCACATCTTCAAGGTAAGGATTGTTGACACTAGGGCAAGACTGTGTAAAATTAGGTGCCACTGTACTTTGGGTAAAGTTATACATTTGAGAGTAGACTGAGAACCATCGTAAGAGCTTTTCATGTTATGCAGAAATTCTTCTTTGTGTCTGATGTCCTGGGTTCTAAAGCTAACTTGACTACTGTGTGGCCTTGAAAAATTTCTGTCAGTCCCCTCATCAATAACACATATGGGATGGATCTCTGTGGTCCTTCCTGGCCCTCATATGTTGTGATTCTTTAGATTTTTTGTTATTTAATGCATTACTATTTCTATAACATATAAAAATTGTACCTGTGTTTCCATATAAAAGCTGTAGCATTTCTAGAACATTGACAAACTTTAATAGTTATACAGTATTTCAAATTTATTTTTTTAGTTACCCTATGAACTGATTTTAAGATTATTATTTTCTCATTTTATGGAGGAGGACATACGGGCTAAGCAAGATTACTTGACTTCCCTGTGTTCATCATGTATACCAGAGCTGGGCAAAGAACTCTTTCTCTGAATTTTGTAGACTTTATTATTAAGGCATAGCATTCAAGTTAAATAAAACACAATTGTCAGTAACACAAAACTAGCTTAATTCTCATAAAGATCTGAGATTTGAAACATATTGAAATGAATTATTTAAACAAAGGTTGGGACCTACATGTGTGTTTCGTGGCACTCTGAGCTACTGAGTGATATGAGAGCGTGCCTCTGCTTTCAAGGTTCTTCCTTACAAAGCAGGTGCACCATTTACCGTATCACCAAACAAACCCTATGTGCCATGGGAATATGAAGGAATGTGGAGTAGAATAAACAGAAGGGGTTCACTTCACTGTAAGAACTTGCATTACCACAATTCTTATGCAATCTTTGTTTTTTCTACTTTTTTGTATTTAGCGGAAGGAAGCTGAAGAAAAAGAGTTCTATTTGAGGTCAGAAAAGAAAGCTTCTGCTCTTTCAGATGCATCTAGAAAGTGTTTTTTACAGCAGGAGATAAGTGATGCTTTAGAGCATGCTGAAAATCCATACAATAAAGGTGAGTGTCCATGAATGCCTTTCTCTCTCTTCATGGTACTATTACAGAGTCATTCTTTTAAGATGGTCTATTATCATGAATAAATATTTGAGGTGTATTTTGGCACTTTTATTCAAACTGTTGCTCAGCTAAAAAGTAAACTAGTTAACCATTTTTTTGGTGGGAAAAGCAGGCTGAGGAGGTGGGAGTATTAAAAAAAAACAAAACAGCTCCAATCAAGAAAAAAGTTTCAACTGTCCTGTAGCACTTCATGGACCATGGCATCCCCTAATCTTCTAGAATGTGATTTATTCCAAACTGCCGTTTCTGGTTTATTTTAGTAAAAATTAATGCTTTGACAGTAGCTAGTCCTCAGAACAATGGTATGTTAAAGTATCACAAGGAAAATGTATAGGACCTAATCAAACATTAGGTTTTGGAACAAGGCTTACAGTGAGTGGCAACAACTGAAAAATCAAAACTACAATTTAAAATTCTAAAATAGAGTACAGAGACAGGTGGCTTTCATTTTACTATATTTTGTATCATTTCAGCCTTTTATAATGTATAAAAGAGCTTTATTTTAATATAATTCACCTATTCAGTTATTCGACTCAGTGTTATTATATTACCATATATTAAAAATGTTTTTTAAAAATTTTTTAAATATATTAAAAAAATATATTCACAGACTTATGCAGCCATCACTGCAAGCAATTTTAGAAAACCTTTGGCATCCCAAAGTAAACTCCCTACCCATTAGCAGTCACTCCTCCTCCCACCCCCCGACCTCCAGTTCCCCGAAACCATTAATCTATTTTCTGTATCTAAATTTGCCTTTTCAGGAAATTTTATATAGAAAGAATAATATATATGGTCTTTTGTGTCTGGCTTCTTTCACTTGACATAATATTTTGATGTTCAGTCATGCTGTAGCATGTATCAGTACTTTATTCTTTTTTATTGCAGAATAATACTCCATTGTATGGATATTCTGTATTTTCTTTATCTGTTAATCAGTTGCTGGACATTTGGGTTGCTTCCACTTTTTGGTTTTTATGAATAATGTAGCTACGTGCATTACTTTTTTTTTTAAAGATGACCAGTAAGGGGATCTTAACCTTTGACTTGGTATTGTCAGCACCACGCTCTCCCAAGTGAGCCACGGGCCAGCCCTGTGCATTACTTTTTTAATTCACAAGTTTAAAAAGTAAAAATATAGGTTAGATGCTATATTGCATTTCATGATGCCTACTTTGGAAACCCCTTATTACCTCTCATACTTGAGATTTAGCTGTCTCAATAATTTGAGTGCTTGGGGAAGTGGGAGTGGAATGTGACTCTGCACAAACTAAATATTTAAAATTGGCTTACAGAAGATACTAACCACTGGAGCTGTGTCTTCTGCTTAATCCTATCACACTTTACCCATTTTAGAAAGAAAAAAAGATCTTGAGGCTTTTAGAGAACCTATATATTTAGAAATAGAAGAAGGCAAGAAACTGCAAAAAGCTTCTTTCATCAGTTGTCTTCTACAGGTTGCCCCTTCTGCCTCCATGATGGCTTACCCCATGCAACCTAAATTGTTTCAACCCTCCTAAATTTCACCAATGAGAGATAATTTGGTTAATAAGTACCCAGTTTTCAAACGCCATATGTCTAAAGGTCTGTCAGTCAGTTCCTTAATCAGGGCGTATAAATTTAATCGGATTAAGTTAATCCTAAAACCAGGAGATGATCAGCTACAATTAAGAAAATGGCATTTTGATTAGAGGTGCTCAACATTGGTTTGTCCCTTAGGTAGGGTCTAGAAGGGAGGAACTGGTAAATGGGAGACAGGTGAGAACATGCCAGTGACAGATCATTTATTTAAAATTTTTGCCTAGTATCAAATCTTTACTAATAGTGGGCAGGTAGTTCTTATCTTCCAGAAAACAGAACCTTCTGGACAATATGAATGAGCCTTGCTGACTCTAAAATCCCCAGTTCAGAAACTTAAGTTGTAGCTGAATAGCCGTGAAGACATAAAATGGTATTTGTCCAAAGTTTTTAATGTACAAAGGATTTGAATGGACATTTATCCAAAGAAGATATATAGATGGCCAGTAGGCACATAAAAAGATGTTCAGCTGCATTAGTCATTACAGAAATGCAGATCGAAACCATGATGAGAAAAATTAAAAATAAAAAGAAACGACAAGATACCACGTCACACACACTAGGATGGCTGTAATCAAGAAGGCAAACAATAAGAAGTGTTGGCGAAGAGCAGAGTAATTAGAACAGTGCTGGTGGGAATGTGGAATGGTGTAGCCACTTTGGAAAACAGTTTGGCAGTTCCTCAAAAGGTTAAACATAGAATGACTATGTGACCTAACAATTCCACTCCTAAATATAAACCCTAAAGATAATCAAAAACATATGTTCATACAAAAACTTATCTGCAAATGTTCATGGCATCGTTATTTACAATAGTGAGAAAGTAGAAATATCCCAAATAGCCATCAAATTAGGAATGGATAAACAAAATGTAATGTATCCATACAATGGAATCTTTTTTTTTTTTTTTTCCTTTTTGTCTTTTTTCGTGTCCGGCAACGGATCGCAACCCTCAGTGTTGCGCCCGTACCGGACCGGGACCAGCAACGGGATCGCAACCCTTGGTGTTGCCCCCACACCTTACTCAGCCAGTGAGCGGGAACCGGTCTGTATGTGGGATCCGAACCCTCGGTGGGAGCACCACCGCACTCCCAAGCGGCGCACTGTAGCAGTGCGCCACCGGGCCGGCCCCATACAATGGAATCTTATTCAGCTTCAAAAAGGAATAAAGTTTCAATCATTGTTGAGTTGTAGAAGAAAAAAAGGAATGAAGTACTGATTCATGCTACAAAATGGACGAACCTTGAAAACCTTATAAGTTTAAGAAGCCAGACGTAAAAGGCCACATATTTTATGATTCTATTTATATGAAATGCCCAGAATTGGCAGATCTATAGAGATAGAAAGTAGGTTAGTGGTTGGGGGGCGGGGGGGGCAGGCAATGGGAGTGACTACTAATGGGCATGGGGTTTCTTTTGGGGGTGATGAAAATTTTCTAAAAATAGTGATGATGGTTGTATGACTCTGAATATACTAAAAACACTGAATTGCAGACTTTTAAATGGTGAATTTTATGGTATATGAATTATATCTCAATGAAACTGTTACTTAAATTAGTAAATGCTGTGGCCAGGAGGGGCCATTGGGCCAGGTTTCAAAATTACTGGGACTTAGGGCCGGCCCGTGGCTCACTTGTGAGAGTGCGGTGCTGATAACACCAAGGCCAAGAGTTTGGATCCTATATAGGGATGGCCGGTTAGCTCACTTGGGAGAGCGTGGTGCTGACAACACCAAGCCAAGGGTTACGATCCCCTTACCGGTCATCTTTTTTAAAAAAAGAAAAAAAAAAAAAACTATTGGGACTTGAAAAAGGAAAGGCTGAGAGAAATAGGGATGACACTTCAGATGGGGAGAATTTGATGATATGGTGCAGGAGCACCAAACTGGATGACAGAAGCACCGGGTCCTAGTCCTCGCTTTATGCTAAATGACAAGAATTTAAAGAAACTTGGCCAGAGTCACTAACCTGTGTACCTCAAGTTAATTTATTTAACCACTGCATTCATTCATTTGAGTTTATTCAGAAATGCTTAGTGGTCTTCATTTTCCTCATTTGTAAAATGAGATTATAGACTAGGTGATCTTTAATTTTGGTACAGTTCTAACATTATACCATTTTCTAACCACTTATGGTTTATGGGCCTCTGAGAATCTTCCCCAGAAACATGTACATACACATATACACATATAATTTTCCCTTATAATTTTTGTGAATTTACCAACAAAAAGCCTCCATGAACTCACTTGTTTGTGATAGAATTTGTTAAACATAATTAAACAATGAAAGAAAATTGCCTATCATGGCGATATGAGTTGGGCCAACTTGACTAGAGAGCTTATGTACAAGAATGGCTACAGATGTCATTGGGGGAGATAGGTGATAGGAACCTTAATGCCAGGCTGAAGAGTTGGGCCTCGTCCTGGTTGCCAGTGCTCCTAACCTGGCTGTACATCAGAATGACCTGTGGAAGACTAGTGTGGGGCTTGCCTCCTGGGCAAGAAACTCGGTGCCAAGGGTCAGGGAAGGAAGGGAATTTAGTTTGTACCCTTTTGTTCTTTTTGCATTTTGTGGTACATGTAATGCCAATTTAGTAAATGCTAACTTAAAATAATAAATAATCACCTTTAGGGTCTTAAAATATATACACTAGATGAAGAAAAAACAAAGCAAGTTGCAGTACAAAAAGTATAGGAACTTTCATTTTTTACTTTATTACTTATGTGTTCAAATTTGTTACAATTAGTATTTATTATTTTTTGTAAATTCATCTTATTTTTTAAAATACACATGTTCAGGACCTCACCAATGGTAATTTCATTTGGTAGAAAATAATTCTGTAAATCTAGGCTAAAAGCTAGGAAGCTAGATTTTTGTCTTAAAGTTTCACAAGTGAATCTGCTTGGCTAGTGTTTGAAACATTTCTGTAGGCAAAAAGGAACGAATTAGTAGTTTCAAAAGAGATAATATTTGCAACCTGGCCCTTTTGGAAGGTAAATTAAACAGCAGTGGGCAGGATGGATTTTGGAGGACAGATGAGAGACTGCAGGGTCTCAAATCTGGATGATCTGTGGAACCAGCATCTGAAATGTGACTCATCTGTGTGGCACTGCCACTGTGGTTATCCTACCTATGTCAGAACCCTTGCAGGCTGGCGATCTGGTTACCTTCTCCCATTTACTGCAAGTGTTTTATTTAAGTTTTTCCTTCTGTATATAAAGTAGTTAAATCTGCTTTTTCTTTTTGTGAGAAATGCCCTCATCTGTCCAATGCCAAAGGATGGACACGGAGACATGAGGTACAATAAAGTGAGACTTTAATTATGGCCTTGTAAGGTATGGGTGTCTGAAGGGCAGGCACATGGAAAAGGGTTATAGCAAGGAATTTATTCCTTAATAAGCAAGTCCTTCCCCCCTGGGATTTTTGCAACACATTTACCTTTAACTTTAAAATAAATGCTATTATCATTGCTAATATCAGAAAATTAAATACATTAACTTAAAATTTTCTTTTTAAGTTTCTTTAAATAGAAGAACAATGGAATGGGACGCCATGGAAGAGAATCTTATGGAGAAAGTGAGAAATCTTCGTAAGAGACTCACCGCTCAGGCCCGTAACAGATGTCAAACCCCTGGTCTCTTGGCTACCTAGAAGGCATGTCATCTTGAGATAGTCAAGAGAGGAAGACCTATTTTGCAATCAGTGACACTAATTTTTAGATTAGTTATTTTAAATTCCTACAAAGGTCAGCTTTTGTATAGAAAAATGTGTCCATAAAAAATTATGTGTTCTATTTAATTCCAGTACTTTTTAGCTTGTAAATAGCTTCTTATTTTTGCCAATAAATATTTTTTGGAAACTATTAAATCTGTGTTAAGCTTTCAGGTTACAACAACCAGCATAAACTTCAGTAATTTTAGTTGATGAGGCATTATTTTATTTATTTATTTAGGTGGCTGGCCAGTGCAGGGATGAACCCAGGACCTTGGTGTTATCAACACTGCGCTCTAACCAGCTGAGCTAACCGGCCAGCCCTATACGGGTTGCTTTAAAGATCAATGGAAAAATAAAGAACAGGAAACCATCTCAACAACTGTACAGGCAGGGCTATGGCAGAACCCAGCGGCAACTATAGAGCACTAACAGTGCGGACTGGCCGAAATTAGTCTCCCTGGCCCCCAGCAGCAGGGTCTCCTCCTTGCCAGTGACCCTACCATACTAACCTGGGCATCTCTGACTCTGCTCCTGCAGCTCCCCCTGGCTGCCGCTCCAGCATCTGACTGCTCTCCCCCTGCGCCTCGGCTCCACAGCAAGGCTGCTCGCCGCTTCCTGCACCTTCCTCTCCCCGTTTCTAAAGGGAGGGTAGCAATAGCTCATGGACTTGATGTGAAGATTAACTAAGATCACCTAGCGGTGTTGTTACACCAAGGTCAAGGGTTCAAATCCCCGTACTGGCCAGCCACCAAAAAAAATAAAAAGCACTAAATAAGATTGTATATAAAGTTCCTGGTCCTGTGCTTGACATAGAATAAGTGTGCAATACATAGTAGTAATTCTTTTTTCAGGGGTTATAAAGCATAATCTCATGTGAACCAAATACTTTCAGTAAGCAAAGTGCTCCCTTTTGTCCAAGAGGCAAGGTCCTAAAATAATATCCTGTCACCTATGCAAGGCATTAGTTTCCCAAGAGTAGTTTCCTCAGCCTCATTTTCCATACATTTTCAGGTGGTTATGAAACATGCCATCATGGGCCAGGCTGATGTGTGTTTGGCAACAGGAGTCAGGATATAAAATATAGAGAGTGTGATGGGAACTTTGGTAAAGTTCAGTGCTTGCTCACCTAAAAGCATTCAAATTCTAAAATACTGTGATTCTGCCAGCCAGAAGCAGCTGTGTACTGACAGGTTTTACCTCTATTTTAGGTCCGCTTTTACTAGAATTTACACCTACTCAGATTGGTTTTGCAACTACACATCTCACACACACAGACACACACACACACACACATAAACCTTTTATGTGTAGTATTACAATAGTTCATTTTTTTAAAGAAAGTTTCTGTTCATCCAGCACACACACACACAAACCTTTTATGTGTAGTATTACAATAGTTCATTTTTTTAAAGAAAGTTTCTGTTCATCCAGTGAAAGAGTTATGAGTACCCTCAACCAAATGAAGTTCTTTTTATCACATTCTTCCAGTTGTCATTTTTTTTTTTTTTTTTTTTTAAGATGACCGGTAAGGGGATCTTAACCCTTGACTTGGTGTTGTCAGCACCACGCTCAGCCAGTGAGCGAACCGGCCATCCCTATATAGGATGCAAACCTGTGGCCTTGGTGTTATCAGCACCGCACTCTCCCGAGTGAGCCACGGGCCGGCCCTTTTCCAGTTTTCTTTGAGCCTACGTTTCTCACTGCCTTAGCAGATTTCAGATACTTGGCTGAATCTCTTCAGTCACGTGTGCTTGGTTGGCATTTCAAAGGTTATTACATTTAATGAATATATAAAATACACTTCTGATTATCTCTTCCTGCTTCTTCACATTTAATCTTCAATCTTACCACATTTTCTTTATAATGTGATATCTCTGGGATTGAATGAGGGTTGAGCATGGCTAAAATTCTTTGCACACTGGCTACATTAAAAAAGTTTCTCCCCAGTATTCCCTTGAATTTGTAGAGCAGTCCCTGCAGGCCTTTTCCTATGTATCACATTCATAAAGTTTCTCTGGCACAAATTGTAAATAAAGTGTTGGCTAAATGTTGGACTTCCACTAAATCCCTCTCCACATTTGACTACAATTAGAGTTTCTTTCTGGTATCAATTCAATGGTATTAAATAAGTTATTAACTTGGTTAGAGACCTATTCACATTTATTTACCTTCATAGGGTTTTTCTGCAGTATGAATTCTCTGATGTTGAGCAATATTTGAGCATTTTCTAAAGGCCTTTCCACAGTGATTACATGTTGACCATTATAGCAGTTGTAGACCAGCAGGACTGCATAAAACTTAATTTATTAATATGGGAGCACTTATCAGAGATTCCGAATTTAATTTTTAATCTCATTGTGTCAGTCTGGGTTCAATCATGAAACAAACCATGTAATAATTTGAACAGGGCAAGTTTAAAGATTTATTAAACTATGATAGGGGAGCAACTATAATGATGTAGAGAGAACTCTAAAAGGTACCTAGGACTCGGGGAGCACTCAAGGAAGGACAGACTTGGAAGGGAAGCCCCTCCCTCCACAAGGCTCAGGTTCAAATCTCATCAGAGAAGGTGTGGTTGCAGGATACTGGAGAGGTTCTCAGGTTGTCCAGGCCAGAGCTAGTCCACGTCCTCTGACAGCAGGGCACAGGCAGTCCAAGGCTGGTGGATGAAAGTGCATAGGGAGTCAGGGTGTCAGGGCCCCGCTTGTCCATCAGGAGGGCCACAGGATGACCCTCTGGCACAGGCAAACCAAGGCTGGTAGGCAGGTGTACTGCTGGCATGAGACCTAAACATGCCAGTGTCTGTGTTGGGATGACAATAGAAAAGTGGTCATCAGTCCGGAGCCGTGAAGTCACAAAGAGATTGTGTGCTCTGGGCTAAGCTGGGGCAGAGCACCACTGGATGTTCCCCGTGCACACACGCAGCTGATGGGCCATGAAGCAGGAACAGGAATAAGCAGAACATAGCTCATTGGAGCTAGAAAGAGAAGCCCCATTCCTCCTGCAATGCCCCTTCAGCACCCTCTACTGACAGTTTAAAGTGTGTGACATCGTGCACACTGTAAAGGAGAAATGCTCGAAGAGTACGAACCATTATTGCAGAGCAGGTACTGAAGAGCAAATTTGGAGCTGAGAGGCAATAAATCGATAACTGGCACACACACAATTGGAAGTGACTGTACAGATTACTTGGTTGGTTGACAGAAAGTGCACTCAGTGTTGCCCTCTATTTAATGAGATTGAGGTACCAGAATTTCCCTGGCACAAAGTAGATGATGGTATCCAAAGGCATAGAAGATAGGAATGTAGGAGTGGGTTGATTACATGGCCTCCTCACCTCCCAGCTATATGCTTTGGGCCCAAAAGACACTTCCTTCATTAAAACACTGAGGGAAGGGAGCATCTGCAAACTCGAAAAGCCCTGTGGCAGCTCTCCTCTGAAGGCCACGTGTGATGGTGAGAGATGCCACCATGGATATGCTCCCTGGTTTCAGTGGGAGAATGGGATTCCATGGTAGTGGAGGCCAAGTGGCAGCATTTAACTACTAAAGACAACCATTTACAGTAGAGGGCAGCAGGGAAGTAGTAATATTAAGGAATTTTTGGCTATTGATAATTGATTACACTGTCCATAGAGTGAACTAGATAGGCAGCCTAATAAAACATTGTTTGATATATGTAAAAGGAAGAACTCCAGACTTGGTGGCTAAAAACCTGACCTGAGTCACTGTGATGGAGAGTCATGCCAGTCACCCAGTTTCTACACCTAAGGTCATTCCCAGATCCACAGTGTCTTGATTGAAGGGGCGGCTGGGTCTTCTTGAGGAAGGACCCTGCAGCAGTGCCACTTATACAAGTACATGCTATGTGTTCTTTAAGCCTTCCCCGTAGGGACCTGTTGCCATTTACTTGAATGATTGTGTACTAGGGAGAAGAAAACACGGAGACTTTACAGGGATTACTAGACGTGGGCTCTGAATTGACACTAATTACTGTGGCCCACCAGTGAAAGTCAGGGCTAATGGTGGTCAGGTGATGAAAGGAGTCTTAGGCAAAATTTGAATTACAGTGGGCGAATAAGGCCGTGAAACCAACCTGTGGTTATTTCCGAGTACCTGAATATATATAATAAACATACACCACAAATGGCAGAATCTCCACATTGGCGCCAAGTGAAAGCCCTGGAAGGTCCTCCCTACCAGGATAGTAAACCAAAAGTTTTATCGCAATTGTCCCTGCGGGAATTGCAGAGATTAGAGCCACCATCAAAAAGCTGAAGGACGAAAGACTGGTTTTAGCTATCGCATTTCAACTTAATCTGCTATTTGACCTGTGCAAATGGAGATGGATCTTTGAGAATGATGGATTATCAGGAACCGAACAGGTGAGTGCAGCACCTGTTTCGGATGCAGTCTCACACAGCCCCTGGCCTGTGCTAGGCCCCAGCAGCTGCCTGCACGACCTCCCTGAGACCCCTCTCCCCAGACCCTCTCACAACCAGCCACTCCCCAGCTCCCCAGCTCCCAAGCCCAAAGCCCTCACGATGGTGTTCAGTGCCCTCCACTGTCTGGCTTCTCATCACATGCTGCCCACCTCCCCGCAGGCCCCCTAGACCCACCCTCCCCTGGTGCCACGTGGCAAGAATCAGCCTCTCCCAGCCGCCCCACGTGTCCCCTGCCGAGTCTCTAGTGCCTCCATTGGACGGCCCTGTACTCAACCGCGCCCGCAGCGCCCTGATGGCCTGTGAGCACCCGGGGCTTGTCCCTGCAACGGCCAGTGCTCAAAGGCAAGGGCAGGGTCCTCGGTGGAAGGGTGGGGTGAGGCTCGAGGCCCTGACACGTGCCCTGTTCTGGGTACCGTCGACCGCAGGGCAAGGGCAGAGTTCTCTCGGACCTGCTCACCGGTCCCTGGCCCACAGGACGTAGGGAGGTCTACGCCCCGTCCCCCGT